GTTTGCAATCATGTTCGCCAACAGTAAACAGGGGCCAGCTTCAATATTTGTAAACATGTGCCCTCTTGAAGCTCCCAGGCCAAAGCTCTGTTTAACTTGGCCTTATGTTGTGGTGAATTAGTCAATTTGCCTGAGTTTGTTGAATGCAATTATGCAAATATTTGGCATCCCATCTGTAAGGGGTTCAGAAAGGATGTGTTTCTGTTGAAGCAGGCTGTTTCTTTGCTGTACAACATTTAACCACCTGTACACAAATCCAAAAAGGCTTTTACACAGGGACAGTCAGGAGCTCTGAAGAAATGTGCTATAAAAGGAACTGGCATATTCAGTGAGATGATGTGAAACACAGAGCAGTGACCCACAGGGCCATGTCATGGCCTGGTTAAAAACTGATTGAGACCAATGATTTGACTCTTACAGTGGGAGGGAGAACAAAGTTATGCTACTATTTCAAATCAGCCTGAGTTTCAGTCCACACAGGACATGCTTCACTGGCCTGAGAAATTACTGAATACGACCCTTTCCAATTTCCCCAGTCTCGGACCAGGCTGTTGGACACTTCTGAAACAATTACCCAAGGGGCCTGGATAACCTTGTTTATAGCTCATTGAGCATCTGCGGTTCCAATTCAACACAGGTAATTACAGCGTCGTTATCTTCTCTTAAATCTTCACTGAGGTGGTGCCACACTGCGCTCTTTGGCTGGGCGTCTGGCCATTTGGACATTGATTGAAACCAGCAGCATCAGTATGCCCAGTGTTTCTTGGCCGGACTTATGTTGGTGGTGCAGGTGTCGGTGACCCGCTGCAGCCCGATCACCCAGAACACATCAGTCACACTAACACTGGTCTGTCGGCCCAGCAGACCCACTCCATCACAGCCTCTCTCCCCTTCAGTGTCCCGTCCGCTCCAAGAGGACAAACAAATCTTGTGATTTGCCTCTAATCTGCAGTCTCCCCTCAGCGTGTGCCACCGTCAGCCCAGCACATCAAGGACACGCGCTCCATAGGAGGCCTGTCCATTAGCACAGCATCTTCCCTGCACCACAGTGCACTGGGACAGGGCGTCAGGATGCGCGCCAATTAGAGTTGGACACGTGGGGACTGTGCCCCTGACATGCCCCTGTTGCTCTATGAAACAAGTGTGAACACACCTTTCTGCTAAAGAAGTCTTCTGAGCGTCTCTCTTTCACCTGGAGCGGTGCTGCGTGCTCACTTCATGCAGCCGAAGCATTTGGCATCATGCTGTTCCTTTTCATGTGTGATGCAGTCTGGGCGTGTGCCCATTACCATGAGTGACTGGTCACCTCTACTCTGTGTCTGTCTGTGTGTCTGTGTGTGTCTGAGTGTCTGTGTGTCTGTGTGTGTCTGTGTGTCTGTGTGTGTCTGTGTGTCTGTGTGTATGTGTGTGTTCGTGTCTGTGTGTGTGTACATGTACGTGTGTGTGTGTGTGTGTGTACGTGTCTGTGTGTCTGTGTGTGTGTACATGTCTGTCCATCTGTGTGTGTGTCTGTGTGTCTGAGTGCATCTGTGAGTCTGTGTGTCTGTGTGTGTCTGTGTGTGTCTGAGTGTGTCTGAGTGTGTCTGAGTGTGTGTATCTGTGTGGAAGGCGCTGTGGGCTTGCTCTTTGGCGCCTCTGTGAAATCTTGGGGTGGTCTTTGGCATGCATCTCTCGTCTGAAGCCTCCATCAACAGAACTCCCCCTCTGTAGTGCAGCGGCTCAGCCTGTGCTGGGCTGGGGTTGGACCGGCTTCATGCTTCAAGCATTTGCATGCTGCATGAACACAATCTGCTGACGCCCAGTGGGAGCACCTTCCATCCATTTGCATTGTTGTTTGCACTGCTTCGCAATGGGAACTCATTTGTGTCCGCTGTCCGACTGATTCTTAATCAGGGCTTGTGTACATGAGAACCACAGACGCCGAGGAGAGACTGGCAACAACACTGTGATATGAATATTTGATCTGGTTTCTATATGAATAAAACACTACATGGTCTTGATTCATCCACAGCACTGCATACCTTCACTGCTCAAATGGATATAGCCATTTTAAAGGGAGGAGATCAGTTCTCTGGCATGGGTTAGATTAATCTTTTCAGTGAATCTAAATGCCTCGAGTCCACAGTTAAACATAGACACAGCCAAGACCAAATGTATATGCTTGATTATGCATCGGATCAACTATGCATGAAGCAATTACATATGGAGGCCCAGGGCTCGGATGGAAACTCAATGGCTGAATTCCTCTCTCATCCTCTCTGTACATGTCCATTCATTAATCTGGCAGCAGAGCCAAATACTCATTTAGCAGTTTGTTTGTCTGTTTACTCAGCCATACACATCTTTTTTTCTTTTCATTTATTTTCTCATGCTTCTGGGAGACTCTTGAGAGCATCTTTGGGGGGCTGCTAAGTAAAGGTCAGAGGTGGAGGCAGGAAGCGTGAGGGAGAGGGGTTTGTGGTGACAAAAGACCAGAGTAGAGAAATAAACCACTGAGTCCACAGAGGCTTAGATTGATCGGAGAGTAAAGAAACCAGGCAAAAATTAAACTAGGAGAGAGAGGGAGGAGGAGAGCAAGAAGTCAGCATTATCAACCCACGGAATGAGAATTTTGCCCTGAGAACTTCAAAAGCTTTTGGGGGCTTGGCTTCTTTGCGCAATTTGACTGTTAACATAATCCAGATATTTTTCTCTAAGTGTCAAAAAAGGGTGTGCGATATGGATGAGAAAGACCGAAGTGGTATCCGCCCCCACTTTCAGATTGATCCCTCCCAGAAAAGACTTAATAACTCATTACTCATTTGTACAACATGTGATTGCTTTGAAGGTTAAACGATACACTACAGTAATAAGTCCAAAGCTGTCATGCGTCATGTGAGCTATTAGCATTTAAAATAGATGTGTCAAACTACACACCTCGGCACTTAATATGGCTCTTTGTTCATTTTTATTTTTTGACAATGTATAAATGGGTTTGTAAAGGCATGGGTGTGAAAGATATTCTAAATTCCCTCTAGAAAAAAAGAATGAGCAGTGTTTGCTAGTGTAGTGTTTCATATTAAAAGAGTCTATATGTTGGCACCCCGCAGTCAAATTTTCTCCCCAAGCTAGACAGTAAAGCAATATAATAAACAGCATATGTAGTGCTGGGAAGTAACTGAATACATGTACCCAAAACACATATTCTGAGTACTAATTTTGAGTTATTGTAATCCAGTACACTTACTCTTTCATTTTGAGTTTCTTTCATTCAAAATACTTTCCTAAATTGAAAGAAATACATGGTGGCACTTCATCATGTAAATTTAGCTTTGAACTGCCTGGTATTATTAAAAAAAATAAATATATAAAAATAAATAAATAAAAATCTCTATTTAGACACAAATTAATGCTTGAAGTTGTTTATGTTTTGATGACATGTTTTTTTCACTATAATGCAATGCAACTGGACATAAAAGTAGTCCAAATATTCAGAATACAGAACTCTGATTGCCTCATGTAAGGACATACATTACAAAATCCATTTTAATTTGGGTATTCAGTATTCTGTGACTAAATACATTTTCAAAGTATTCTTCCCATCACTGAACATATGGGGATTTGTAGAGATTTGTAATAAGAAGGCCAAGTATTTACAAATCAATACTTAGAGAAGCTTTCAAAGTTTAAAATAGATTATAAATTCTTCTCCAACTGGGCAACTTTGGCAGCTCCATAATATTGTTTTTTATTGCTCGTTATTATAGCATATCATCAAAACAAATTGTAGGGTATTCTTTGTATTTCAATGACAGTCTATGTGTTCTGCAATAAAACCACTTAATCCAAACTATTGTCTTTTCCGAGAAACACGTCAATTACTATTATCCTTGATATGAGCCTCATTTGTGCAGCAGGCGGTAAAATTGAGTTTGACACTGTTGGTTTAAACTGTTCCCTTGTCTATTTTTGTTTCAGTGTGTTTCTGTGTGCTGTGCCTGTCTCCTATTCTTCCATCTGGATTATTTTAAATCCATTCTCTTCCTCTAATCTTTCCCCCTCTTTACTCCCACACTCTCCATGCCCTCTCTCATATCTCACTCTCTCCCCTGTATAATAATGCCGCTGTCTATGGTGCTGAAGCGCATATCTCTCTCTCTTTAAAAAAAATAAAAAATAAAAGATTCTTGGCATCCGGTGGAGATAAACATGTTGTGGTGGACAGACGCTCGGTTCTAGTCCGCAGGAGCAGGACAAGGTGGACATACTGACGTGGGTGGGTCCTGCCCTGGTCCCAAACAACCGGTCCCTCGCGTCAGCACCACCAGCAGGCAGCGCGAGCCACTTGACCAGATGGTTCAGACTTAACACCACTGCTCATCAAAAAAAAAAAAAAAAAAAAAAAAACACACTCCAGTGCCGTGTTCCAGCCTCGCCATGGCCCCCCAAGCACCATGACACAGAAGAGGAAAATTAGCACCTAATTATAGTGTTCGCTCCCTCTACTAACGGGTGACGGTGCAGTGTGTCAGCGGAGGCGGGTGGTGGTTGGTGGGTTGACTCACAGACGCAGCAAGGCCTCCAGCGCGTGAACACCACACAGCACCCTTGGGAGACAACCATGCTGCACCCACCTTTCTGCACCCTGGCTTCACTCTGGCTTCAACATCAACCACATGTGCCGCGTCTCTGATCCAGCACGATTAATTACGCACACAGTGGAAAAACCCTACGCCTCCGGTTCAACTCCACGGGGCTCCCTCGTGTTGAAGGCGCAGTAGTTAATCTTCTGAGGGTTTCATCGTTTGTTTGAGATGTAGATCTAGATGAGAGCTTGAGTATGCTGCCATCTTGTGAGTGCATCTGGACAAATACTAACGGTATGCTCTAGACTCTCCCAGAGGTAATGTTCAACAAATGCTTGGAGTAAATATATAGAAGTGGAGAGAGAGAGTTTGCTCAAAAAGATAAGCTTTATCTGCAATTGTAGTGTATAACTCAAGACAGCAGCACTCACAAAATGCATTTGGTAGCAATGGATCTTTATTAGGTCTGCAAAAATAGGTTAATATAACAAAAAAAAAATCACTTTCTCATTCTGAAATCATACAAAAGCATACTATACCACACCTGAATACAGCAAATTACTCACACACATCTTCACATAAATCAGCAATGAAAAAATGAGGGGAATTTCATGAAGAGAGCAAAAGATCACTCTATGCACTTAACATGTTTCAGGGTGCACATCAGAAGACAATACAAAACTTTGGCACCAATTATTTTGACATGGAGTTGGCAAATGTCTTTAGTGCATTTTGAGTTGGAGTGACAGGAGGAGGGACGATGATAGGCGACTGGTACGGTTTTCACTGAAGCGTGCAAAAGGACAGACAGAAGTGCCGTTGTCATTGGTGTCTGTATGGGGTCTAATTGGTGCAGTTTATTTTAAGGTACGGCCACTTTGAAAGGGCTCCCGGGGACGTTGTCGTCACCCCACTTGACAATAACAGTGTAGCTGCCCTTGTCCTTGACAGCGTATGTGACATTATACTGCTTGTTGCCCATGTGCTTTACATACACCTCCTCACAGGGGGCATGAGGTCCGTGCACCCCCACCATCAGCATGTTGGTACCTGGGAGAGAGATAGGGGAAATGAGATCAATAAGGTTCACAACAGGTCTTTACGGAGCGGGTTTTAAAGCTGCACTGATCAATACTTCTATGTTAATAATGGATTCAATTACTTCAGGTAATGACAAAGAGAATTCTCATTTAATTCTGTAATTTAGCTCAAGAGCATTTTAAAGTCTTTCAGATGGTTGTAATTTACAGACACTAAGTTTTATGTTTATGGTTTTCCTTTACCGCAGTAATAAATTTCACTTTCAGCGGCCAGTTGCTCTCCCAAAAATCTAGTAAACGAATATTTGGAATCATAAAAGCTATTATGAACTTCACAAACAAAGCCATACACAACAGCCTATTGTGTATTAAGTCAAATTAAAGAAATTTAAATTCTAAAGAGCACCACAACACTAATATATGGAAATGGAAATACAGAAATATTCCACTCTGTCATTGTTCACTCTGTTGGCAGCCACCAAAGCAAATCCTCCACCTCAAAGTTATTTGTGTTATCCAGACTTGGAAGTCTGGATAAGGAAAGTCTTGAAAGTCTCGGAAGACTATTACGGTTTATGACCATTGGCTGGATTTTTTAAACATCTTGGAGGCCATGTAAGAAAATTCACATTAGAAACCAACCAGGTTGTCATCTCACCTGCTTTGCTGCAGTCAACTGTAAAATTGTTTTTCTGCCCCACGACAGCCTTGGACAGGCCTGTTCCACGGCACAGCACCTTGCTGGCATCAGACGCCAATTTGGCCGATGTGGAAGAGGAAGAAGAGGAGCTGAAGGTCCCGCCCAATTTAGACGTTTTAGTGACAGTTTCCACGAGAACAGAGGAGGTTTCATGAAGGCTGTGACCCCCTGACAATCTGACACCTAAAACAAAAGAAGATACATTTAATGTAATTTCACTTTAGCCTTCCCAGACATTACATAATGGCACGTATTGACAAAGACATCAATGGAGCAAAAGTGATTTCTAAGTGGAGGTTCTTGTAAGACATGAGCTATTGTTTGAGCTTAAATAAGTATACTTCTGGGGCTCATGGGAGCAAGATTTTTAATGTTTTGGAGATAGTAAGTGCCAAGTATTGACAGGAATATTTCACTCCTCTAAGCTTGTAATGTGGCCTTTTATGTAATACCCGCAGTGAGCAGTTTGAAAAGAGATGACATAACATTTATCTGACATCCACACATTTTTTTCACAGAGCCATTTGTTTCATAATGGAGACTTGTCATCTAAATCCAAGGATCAGATGGGAGAATGACTGTGTAACAAACCTGTTATTTTAGCCTTGAATGGGCTGCCAACTATGTGCTGAGGTCCGCCATATTTAATAGCAATGAGATAGCTGCCTGGAGCCATTGGCGTGTATGTGATCTTGTAGCCTTCCGGACACTCGCGGCAGTCCATTTTGACCTTAGAGGGACCATCGATGTTGACTGAGAGGGTTCCCGAGCCTGCATTACAAGTGTTGACCACAAACTCCAAAGGAACGCCTACAGAAAAATGGAAAAAGATCATGAAATATTTGAATGTGTTGAGCAGTGAGCAAGATTGGGAGAAATCTAATCTGGGACAAATTTAGAAGAAAATCTAGAATTCTGAGAAATGCAGGATGAATTTTTGACTGGACAAATTCTTATTCAGTGGCTCAAATATCAATATTATGGCTTTATTTGACTACTTTATTATAAAGAGATAACTACTGAAAACTGCCCTTTAAAGGTTTGTGGTGAAAAAAGAGCTGTGGTGAGGGTGGAATAAATTGAAATAACATTATTTAAGGGAAAAAATGTATATCTATCCTGCCTATCGGCCCAAATATATTAGCAGAGTTTATCAGCCGTCACTTGCTCAGGATTCTAAACATTCGGTATTGCCATCGACCATGAAAAAACCCATATCGTCGATCTCTACAAAAGACCACCAAAACAACTCGATTTTGAAATCACTTGAACAAACTCCTTTTGTTACCTGTTGTTCCTCCCAGCAGGCCAGGCCCATGTGCAGTGACCATGCCCGGATCTCCAATCAGCCCCAGGTCTCCCACTCGCACATTAAAGGGGCTTCCGGGAATGTGGCACCCGTTGAACTTGACATCAATAGCGTGGACACCATTTTCTCGAGGAATAAATCGAATGGCACTTTTGTCTGCGGACACAAACGGATAATTGGTGCTTAGTCTAATTGTGACCTCAGATTACCTCATAAGAATAATTATAGCTACTTTTTATGATAAAACTGATGCATACCACTGTCAAGGTCAGAGACGTAGCACTCCTCAGAAGAGCCAGAGGGGGTGTGAACCTTGGCGTCTACCACACCCCTCGCCCCATTCCTTTGCACCATAAATGTAGCCTCCTGGTTCACCTTCAAATCTTTCTCCTGGAACAAGGGAGACAAAATGGGTTCAAAATACATGAACGGGATGCTGTGTCTCAGAAAATAATGTAATAAAACGTGATGTGCAATAACATGGTTGGATATTGCAATAGCCATGTAACCTTTGGATAAGATCAATCATGCTAGCAATGTTTAATCTTTAAAGACACACAACAGGGCTTTGAACTGATGTTCAATTTGAGGCAAATCTGTAGTTAGATGTAAAAGACAGGACAAACTAAGTTAATTAATCTTAATGTCCAATTAATTTTTTGTAGATAAATCAGTATTTTAATTGGTGTCAGTAAAGGCTATATTAGATTTGAACATGTCTATCTCATATCTGGGAATACAGTTACGTCATGTTTATGGAATTTAAACCTAAAATCTTACATACAGTTGTGAGTTATGAAAGCTCAGAGGTTTTAACAAAACTTGAACTATGGGTACAAGCATTTATTCTGACCATCAGCCATCCACATTACATTTCATATTCTTTTTATGTTCTATAAATATTGCAATTACAAAACCGGCCTTTGTTGTGTGTATGTGTTTGAATCTCCAGGGACAACGTTGTGACTCATCATCATCATGCCTGAGCAAGAATAGATGGTGCATTTAGGTGTGAGAGGCTGAAAAGGTTAAAGTTCACAGCGAGGCGTTTAGTGTTTTAGTCCCCGTGAGCCATATAAGAGGCATTGTGACATTTGAACACTGGTCTGATATCACACTTCACCTGGCATGTAGAGCGGGAGAAACACTGTGAAGTGGCAGTTCAGATGACTAAAAATACATGTTTTCACAAATGCTGGCAGTTGTAATGGAGCAAATAAAACAAGCCATTTCAAAAATTGAAAGGACCATACAGTGAGCTGTCGTGTGTGCACATTTCAAATAGTTTTTCATGAATAAGGAAATAAAAACACTTTTTCTTATTTCCTCACTGATTTTTGCTGCTGATTCTTTCAGTATCACACACTGTACCCACACATAGCACAGCTTCTGTTAGCCCATATTAGCAAGGGACACTTAATCCAGGCAGTCATCACTCGCCAGCAATCTCAGAATTACAGCTACTGGATGAAGCTCTAATGCTGCCTTTCAATCATATGTCAAGGGCGAAGAGCTTTTAGATTAGAAATAACAGCTTCATATCCATCCTGACCTATTTTTTATCATGTTTATGAGTGGATTTGGGCCAATTTTTTACCTGAAGGCTGGTGACAGTTAGCCTGCGGGCCTCGTCAGACAGTGTAGCAATGGGCACAATGAATGGACTGTCAGGGATGTGTTCGTTGTTGAACTTGATGGACACCTCATAGTCACCTGGGAAAAAGCAAAGGATATTTATTTTAACATCAGATAGTCCAGGAAACCCACCCTTGCACATTTATCTAAACGCAAGGCTGATAAACACAAAGAAAAGTTGCCACTAAAAGACATAAACATTATTTTGCTTTGAGAACTAGTGCTGTCCAAATTTGAGCTGGTTGCCCAACAGGTTTGTTAGATTGCCTTGAGTCCCTGGGCAAGACACAAAGACAAAGGGAGCGGATTAAATAAGGCCAGTCTTCTCCATTTTCCGCTCCCGGTGAGCATGTTCGAACAATAATGTGAATGTGGTAATGTTTGTGTTGTATTATTGCTCATACATGTGGAAATAATATGACCATGCCCAATAAACTAAACACACCTACTTGGCACAAAGCAGGTATCTAGGTTAAAACTTTGCTTATAATTCTTTATAATATGTGTAATAGAAAATCATAAAAAGTATATTAAATGTGCATTATGTAACTTTTCAGTTGGGAGTGACTTCAAATAGTTTGTCTCCATGAAGTTATTATTGTTTTGCCTAGAATGTTCTACAGTATAGCATTACACATCTATCTTTATGGAAAAAAGCAAGGGACACTAAAGCGCTAAGTTACAGGTCAGATCTATGAAGGAATGACCCTGCTCACAGTAAGGTATACACAGTAAGGTAAGGAATAAATGATAAATGGTCACATTTTTATATAGACAAAGAAGTAGCATGTTAATGGAGCCCAGGAAATCACATATTGCTCTTTTAAAGGTTACTATGATCATACCTGGTTCCTTCACTATGTAGGACACTCCACATGAACCATCCTTTCTGTCTTCAAAGGAGATTTCAGCTTTACTCGGCCCTTCTACAGCAATAGACAGTCCACCAGCTCCAGCCTCACGGGTCCAAATACTAAATTCAGCTAAGGCAGAAAAAGCAAATCCATATAACAATGGTCGTAAAAACACAAAAATACTCTATGATCAGGTTTAAACTTACAGGGTGCTCCAGCTACACCTCTCTCCAAACCAGGACCTCCAGCTCTGACCTTGTGTGCCCCTCCTTCACCCATTGGCCCCACTGTGAACTGGAAGGGGCTCCCGGGAACGTGCTGGCCCCTGTATTTGACATTGACAGTGTGGGGGCCAATTTCTTGTGGGATAAATCGAACGCTGTAGGTGCTGCTTCCTCCATCCACAATATCGGCATCGGCTGTTTTGCCACTGGGGCTGGTAACCTGTGCGGTCATTGCTTGTGAGCCACTTTCAACTGTAGGAGCAAAAAGAGAGTGTTTTTGTCATTTGCTTATTCATCCTCAAGGACTGACACAAGCTCATATTTTACTCGTTGCAAACTGCAAAATTGACCATTGACTTCATGTTCACAACGGCAGAACTGATAGGCACCAACTCTTCATAGTGGCATTTAACTAAAGCCAGCAGCAAGTTGTCATTTACATGTTTTTATTTTTGAAAAGTGGCTAAGTGACATTTTAAAATCCTACATGTATCACTCAGAGTCTTAATTTATCAAACAATCACAACTAAGTACTGGAATGTGGGCGAGTAGAAGAAAACAGCAAATCGTCAGAGCACTCAAGCAATAACAACAATGTTATAACAGTTAGAAGCTCATAAAAGTAGATTTAGCATAATATGTCTCCTTTAATATCTTCAGTTCAGGGATAAATGCTCTAAATACTGATCCCCAGATTCTCTTTATGTCAGATTCACAACTAAACGCATCCTTTGTTCTTTTACTGTATCTGTTCTCTCATTTTAAATTAGGCTTCAAACCACTAAATAGCAATTATATTGGAAAATGCTAGATGAGATGGCACCATTAAATTTTATGTGACTTGTGACAATAGAAAGGAATTTAGTGCTTCATCCACTTTTTTTAAAGACAAAGGTGATTTTCGTTGACTAAACTAATCAGGCCCTGAATAATTTCATATTAAAAGAATATTGTAAAAAATAAAATAAAAAACTTAAGGTCCATTACCCTCTGGTCTTGCTGTGATCCCTGCGAAACTGCTGAGACTCTCTCTGCCCAGAAAATCTCCAAAGACGTCTCTAAAGGGGCTGCCTCCTCCCCCCACCTGGGTGCTCTCTTCCACCCGGACCTCCCTCTTGGTCTCCCCCCCGCGGGTTTTGCTGATTTCTGTGCGCTCGGTTCGCGTATAAGTGTGGCTACTTCTTGTAAAAGTTCTTGTAAGTCTCTCTTGAGCGGACACCATCTGGAACCAGTTTCCTACAAATCAAAAGGAGATTCATCCATAATTCATACAACCACCGTGGGAGGACTTTATTGAATTATATGATTGGGTCCTGGCTTCTGAGCTCACCTGGGATCTTGAGGTTAAGCCCACATGTGCTGCCCACAGAAGCTATGGAGGACGCTTGCCTCTTTCTGGTAATACTCTCTTTGATCCTTCCTTCACCGGTCACCTTCACTGTGAATGGACTGCCTACATTGAAATAAACCAATTACAGTAAATCAAATGCAGGTATTCGAGCGACAAGGACATTTGTGAGAAAAAAAATATTAGCATGAAAATAACTTCAAACCTGGGATATGCTTCTCTGCAAATTTAATGTTAACTGTGTAGTTTCCAGGTTCGGTTGGGCAATAAGTAACTCTACATGTTCCATCTTCTACATCTTCACAGTTGATATCCACTTTACTTGGACCTTCAATGGATAGGGCTAGACCACCATAACCTAAACAAGGAGAGAAAATCAATAAGTTTAAACATTTATTTAGTCTTTTTGTTCAACATTCAGGCCATGAAAACAATTATCTGACCAGCCAGAAACACACACTTTGACAAAACTTCACAAAGACAAGTGGATTTGGAGCTATATCGCTGAGACAACTGGCTGGTCAGGCAATGAAAATAAAATATATGGATATCATACCTGCATTTCTTGTATCAACAAAGAACTCAGCCATTTCAAAAGTGTGTGCCTCCACCAGTCCTTTGCCAAAGGCTTTGACTCTGCTGGCCTCTCCAATCTCTGACTGGCCAACCATAATTTTGAATGGACTGTTGGCCACATGCACGCCACTCTTCCTCACGCTCACTTCATGCTCTCCGACCTCCTTCGGGGTGAAAGAGATGCCTGTAAAAAATGTTAATGGGAAAGAGACTGTAACTTTACTGTTCATTCACAATAGATCAGATGAATACATTTGCAGTATGGTACTATTTCTTGAGCCACTTTTCTGGTGGAGGGGAGTCAAAATGTCAAACCTACAATGTTTCAAAGTATGTGCAAAGTATGTCTCCATCGAGGCAAGAAGATGATCCACCCAGGCCAAGTTAAAGTAGACATGTAACTCAGTAATAGCAAGACAAATAATTAAATGCCATACTGGGGAATATTCCGGGCAAAGCAATAACAAGGCCATGAAGCTTTCAATTCACTTTGCCACTGATTAAAACAATAAAAAAAAAAAAAAAAATCTAATTTCCAGCTTTCAATATATACATGCATTATCTTTGTCCTACTTTTAAAAGTGTGTCTCTATGTGTTGTGTCATACCCAGGTGTCTGTTGGGCAGCCGTTTGAGCAGACAAGGCTCCTCATTTCCTGATGGTGCTCTGATACTGGCGGTGAGAGAGCTAATATCGGTCTCTGCTATCTTCAGCGACACATCCGCCGATGTGCCCACGTTCAGCTGGGACGTCCTGGTAATGGAGTCGTCCCCTTGACAGAAAAAAGCAATATTTGAGTGTATATATCAACTGTAAATAACATTACATTTAAGGATAAGGCACCCTAAACCAATCTATATGTTAAATAGTTGATTTCTCACCAGTTATCTTGGCAGTGAAGGGACTGCCAGGAATGTGCTTGTTGTCAAACTTAACAATGATGTTGTAGTCTCCCGGGGCAGTGGGCAGGTAGGACACTGTGCAGGTGCCATCTTTGTTGTCCTTACAGGTGATTTCTGCTTTGGAAGGACCCTCCACGGCCAGAGATAAGCCACCTATGAAAAATAAGCCCATAAGAAAGTTATGGTCAGTGACACTTATTAATAATTAAAGAGGATATGAATGTGTGAGTCTTACCTTCTCCTGCATTTTTGGTGACCACAGTAAATGTTGCCGGCTTGTTGACCATGCCATAACTCAAGCCTGGACCATATGCAGTTACCACCCCACTGTTTACCGCATCCACAAAGAACTGCAAAGGGCTTCCTGCAAATTTTATTCATAGAATACTATTACTTTTTTACACTGGCCATAATGTATAAAGACTCTTCTATATACTGGATATTATTTGATTCACTCTACACAGCCCCACGTTAGTTACCTGGAATGTGGTTGAAATCATATTTAATGTCCATCTCATGCAGGCCTCTCTCTGTGGGCTGGTACTTGATGGTAATGGTGCCATCCTTATTGTCAGTGATATGCGGGCGGGCGGTTTTGCCTGAAGGCATACGCACTTCACCTGCAATTGACAATGCTTTGGTCAGTGACCTAAATAGAAATGTGCAGTGGGTGTCTGGTGCACAGTTTGAGTGTCCTCGAGTGAGCGAACAGACCTGTGATTTCTCCTTGCTGTGGCGTGAAGGGGACCAGGAAATTAACAGGACGGAAAAGAGGGTCCACAGTATCACGGGGCACGACAGGCTCATTTGTGGCCTGAAAACAGGAAATCCAGTTTGAGTTTAACTGAATGTCAGAGACAGTTACACACCTGCTAAAGGAGGAACTATGGTAGTGTTTAGTAGTTTACTCACAACCACGTGGAAGGGGCTCTTGGGGATGTTCTGCCCCCCGAAGCGGATGGTAATAACATATTTCCCAGGTTCAGGGGCAGTGTAGTAAATGTCAAAGGTACCATCGTGATTCTCCACCACATCCATGTCCAGCTCCATTCCCTGTGGGGTCTGCACCTTACAGGTCACCTTGCCTTTCCCAGCAGCCTTTGCATCGACAGTGATGACTGTGTCCTCGGAGGTCTGCAGCTTCTGAAGACTCGCTAGTAAAAAAAAGAAAGTTTGCTGAAAAATACCTTCATAAATATGCATATATTAGTTTGAAAAAGAAAATCAACTTACACATGCCGTGCCCTCCAATGGACACTAGAGCAGTAAGAGAGCGTTTAAATATTAATATGGAGATTACTTGAGCAGAATTTATTTATTTTTATATATGATAATTATTATGCATCCTCATGCTTTCTCACCAGTAAGCCGACACTTGCTAGCATCCCCTGTGGGAAGAGACTGGATACGATATGGAGAGTAGGGGATCTCATCTCCTCCATATTTAATGGTGATTGTGTAAGGCCCCGTGGAGTCAGGTACATAAGACACTGTGTAGGTCCCATCCCTGTTGTCCTGGATACTTGCATTTTTTGGCTTTCCTTCAGGATCCTGCCAATGAAGAATGATGAGTTTTAAAAGCTGCTGACTTGAAGTATAACTCAAAAGCACAGAGGAGGTGCAAAGTGTAGCTCTTACCAAAATCTGCACTGTAAGCAGTCCCTCTCCAGCATCGCGGGCATCAATGGTGAACTCAACAGGCAGGCTGGCTGCCACACCTTTTGTGTCTAGACCAGGACCACTGGCGCGGACCTTACTGGCATCGTGCCCAGGCTGAGACATCACCTTGAATGGACTGAAGAAGATGAAGGGTAAAAATGTAGTTACATCATAAAGCCTTCAAAAGACTGACATGCAGACTGAAATACTGCTGAACTGCTGTTTCCTTACAGACAGAGCAAAACTTCAATTTAAAATAGTTTGGAGCATTTTAACATTTATTGTACCTGTGTGGGACTTCCTGGTCTGCATATTTTACTGATACAGTGTATGGGCCATCCTGAGCTGGCGTGTAATGGACAGTGTGTGTCCCATCACCATTATTCTTCACGCCAACAGGCTCCATAGTACCTACAAAATATACAGCAGCACATAAATATATATCATTAAATTATGTTTTTACAGTTTTGGAAAAAGACTAAACACATTTTTAGGTTTGTCTAAAATCCATTCCGAATCTGCTGTTGACTTTGGCCTAAATCCTAGAACCTCACCAAGCATTAAATTTTATACTTGTATTTTACTAGTTTTAGGTTAATTAATAGGTGAAATGAGGCTAATTACTATAATAAAATACTGAAAATTGTTTTAGTTATTACAATATATATTTTGGATAATCTGTTTACCTGTTGGACCATAGAGTTTGACATCCAGCGGTGCCTGTCCTGCTTGAGTACAGTCTACAGTGAATGTTTGGGGGACATGAGCCCTCACTCCAGACCCCAGTCCTGGACCAGAGCATTTGACTTTGGTGGGGTCCACAGGGTCTTTCACCGGGACACGGAAGGGGCTCCCAGGAATGGGGTGACCTCCGTAGTTAATGTTGACATCATAGTCTCCAGGAGTGAACGGGACGTACTCCACGCTGCAGCTGCCATCTTTGTTGTCTTTGCAGGATATTTTGGCTTCAGAGGCGCCCTCAATGGTGAGACCCAAACCACCTGTACCAGCACCCCTTTAAAACATTGTAATACAATTAATATATACAGAATACAGAATAAAACAAAACAAAACAAATTAAAAAGCAAATTAATTATGCAAAACTACCAAGCTGTTCAACAGTTATTTGAGAGTTTTGCACTACTGTTGATGCACTACTGGCTTGTCTCCCTAGATATGTTATTGATTTGTTTGGAATGTTCCACAGTATGCCATTAAACTTATATATTTAGCATGCATTCTCAATGTGAGTGTGATTACCTCTCCACAGATTTGACCAGTAAGATGGCCTACAACTGTTTACAGGGATAGATTAGTTTAATCTTTAATATTTCATACTGTGAAAAGTTCAAGGCAATGAAATTGTATAATGAAGGGAAGGAAGCAGTGCAATATAATATGATATCCAATGTGATGGAATATGATTTTTATATCTGTATATTTCTGTATAAGTCAGTTTCCGTATAAGTTTAGCTTTCCCCCTGGTTAATACATACCTTGTCTCCACGGTGAAGCAGTTGGGCTTGTTAGTGATTCCTCCCTCCAGACCTGGCCCGTAGGCGCGCACCCGAGTGGGATCACACCCCTCCACCACTGACACTCTGAAGGGACTCTTGGGAACGGGCGCGTCATCGTATAGCACCTCAATGAGATGCATCCCTGTGGACAGAAATAGTTTTACTGCTATATCTTTACTATCTTTACATAGCACTGGAATTTGTTTGTAACTGCAGAGGCTGGACAAATTCCCTTTTTGGGAGATAAGCATCTGTTGAAGGATTGACGACAACAGGCTCAGTTTGTTGAACCTACAAGGCGTTACATCTGCTCTCTTTTCATTATTATGTTATAACATTATCTGACAAAGCCCTCTCTATAGGCCTATATAGCAGATTCATAACTTCACTGGTGAGACATTAAAGCGTGTCTGCCATGGAGAGAAGTGTGCTATGATCTCTTTGCTTTGCGTGATTCTTGTCTATTAATAACTTGTGCTATTGTGGTGCTATACTGCTGTGTGCAGGCAGCCTTTCGCACACATACCTGGTTAAGAGCCATGTTCCAGCTTCGACTATTTATAAAACCAAGTCTGTCTGCGTGTATGCCACTATCCCTGCTCTCTGGCCCCTCACATCATTGCTCCACTGCATCATACTGTATTTATACCCCTCTCCCTCACTCTTTCTTTTCCCTCTCGCCTGTTTTAGTCCCAGATGGTGCACAACTCAAACACCTGTTAGCACTGCTCTGTCTATATGCTCTGATTCAGATCACAAATCACAGTGTGGAGGCAAAATGTACTTTTTGTATGCCTTAAGTCAAAGTAAATTGTGAACTAACTTCTTTGGAAATGTCAATGTTAGACGCTTTTCACACCAAGTACCACCTGGAGATATTTGACTTTCTTTAATAGCTAGACTGAGCATTGCTGCAATAAATATAGTTGCTGCTAAAAGGGGAAATAAAACACAACTACTTATTATACGCCTCGGCAATATGGTAAAAAATGTATGCTTTTCCTTGTATTAATCAATCACAATTTTCAATTAGACTTTTTTTTCAGTCTTAATTTTATGAACAAAAGAAAAACGCTTAATCATTGCCATTTATCTGCAAACAATAGTTACATTTATTCCTCCAAAGCCAGAACTCTGCTCCAAACTAAATGATATTACAAACAAGAGAACTGGCTGATGACTTTTCTAATTAAAAAAGCCCCAACATTATTATTTGAAATGACAGGATATTGATTTGTTTAAAATTTGATTAACTGGACAGCCTTAGCTGACACTATTATCACAGTATGACAGGCCATACTTAAACCAGACCAAATATAGTTCCTAATTCATGCGGAAAAGGTAGTCTAAAAAAGGGCATGACCAGTAAAGACCTGAAGGAGGCTACATTCCACTAGAGATACCACACGGTAATGTGTGTAGCATGATCTTACCATCCTCAAACGCTGTGTACTCCACTCGGTAAGTGCCATCTCCTTTGTCAGTGATGTAGGCCTCAGTGTTAGCTCCAGAGGGATTCATAATATGGACTTTTACATGGTTTCCCCCGATCTTGTTCAGAGCCCGAGCATCGACAATGAAGTGGGTTGTGACTTCTCTGAGGACCCCTTGAAGAGAACAGACCCTTCATATTAAATGGATAGGATTTACAAAGAGCACTCACCATGGTAATGACTAACTCTTGCTGTAGCCTGTTGCTACTGCTGGATTTCAGATAACTTCACAGACAACATAAACATATAATGGTTTTGAGATGGAGCAGGTAAAATTATAGGTATAAGTTGTGAACAATATGTGTCTTGTCACTTATTTTTAGATTATTATTATTGCCAACAACTTTATTATAAAAATGCCATACTGGCTCATATCCCCCATGACATCCACTGTACAATATAAAAATGACACATAACTTACAACTCTGGCAAAGAAACAATTTCACACTGGCAATAGTAATCTAAGAAAAGCTGTATATTAGATTTTTACCTCTAGGCTCCACTCCAGGGCCGTAGACGTGAACTCCAGCTGTATCCACCGCGGGCTCAACTTGAAGGACTTTGGGACACTGAGGAATCACATGACCGCCATACTTGATAGTGATGGTGTGAGTGCCGTGGAAAGATGGGATGTATGTGACAGAGAAAGTGCCTTCTGCTGTTTTCTGAATGTGCACCTCAGCTTTAACTCCAGTGTCTGACACAATCTCAATAGTGAGCTCCCCGTCTCCAGCTCGTGTGCAGTCCACAGTAAAAGTGGCAGGTTCACCGGCTTTTGCCCTGTCCAGGCCAGGCCCACTGGCAGTCACTTTGCTGGGGTCAAATGCTGGGCGAATGGCAGCTTTGAAAGGAGATCCAGGGATGTGCTTCTCTGCGAACAGGATGTTAATAGCGTATTCGCCGGCCTCTGTGGGCAAGTAGGCCACGGAGCAGGTGCCATCTCCATTGTCCTGGCATTCAATCTTAGCCTCACAGGGACCTTCCACTGTCAAACCCAGACCACCAGCTCCTGCACCTTTTGTGTCAATCGTGAAGGGAGCAGGTTTACCCACGACACCTCCCTTAAGGCCTGGGCCGTACGCTCGGACCTACATTAAAAGAACCAGGTCAGAAAAAGTATAAATATTTCATCTAAAAAGCCTGTATGTTTATGTATGAAGTCACACATGGACTTTATAATGGATATTGTGACAACTTCCATGAGCTTTTACCTTTGAAGGATCAGCAGGCATCACAGCTTCTACTCCGAAGGGGCTGCCCATCACTGGGTTGCCATCATAGCTGACATCAACCTTGTACTGCCCCTCCTCCGGGGGGATATACTTCACGTTGTGGATGCCTTTTGCTTGATCCGACTCCATCTTGCAAGGGATTGGTCGGCCAGAAGGTGAGGTCATTTTCACGCCTACGTTGCCCTGCCCACCAGCGCCCTTTGTGTTTACAGTGAACTCCTGATCTTTTCCGACCTCCACTTCTGCAACAAGACATTACATAAAAGTTTCAATGTGTGTGTTTAGATTCAATAGATAAAATATAAATTCTGTAGCTTTCTGTACTTACTGGTGTCTAATCCCTCAACTTTAACCTTGGTCAGATCAAGCTGTGGTGAAACTGTAATGTGGAAGGGGCTCTTGGGAATAGGATCACCTCCATGCAATACTGTAATAGCCATGTTTCCCTAAAAAGAGCAAAGAAAAAACAAAGCAAATTAAAAACCTTCACCAGACCCCTTCTCTTGTTAATGGACTTGAAGCAGAGGCAAGCTGTACCTGTTGAAGTGCGGTATACTTGACAGTGTAGGAGTAGTCATGATTGTCAATTATTTCAAAGTCACGAACAGCCTCTCCTGGGGCAGATGCTGCGAAATGCACCTCAGGCTTAGCTTTACCAGCTCCCTTTGTGTAGATGGTGAAGTGGGTTGGAGTGCCTACTTCTACTCCTAAAAAGCACAAAGGATTGTCACTGATAGAAGATGACTAGAATTGATTACTTGGATTTCCAAAACTTTTTTTCTATCAGCAGATTCTGACCTGTCTTATTCAGTCCGGGACCCTCAGCTCTCACTTTGCCAGCATCATGGGAAGGATCCACTTTGACTTTGAATGGGCTAACAGGGATTTCCTGAAAAACATTGATCATAAATGTAATTAATTATTATCAAATTCTCTTTACGTAACAAAGCTTCGTAAGAAAACATTGCTCTAACCTGGTCAGCAAACAAGACCATAATAGTATAACGTCCTGGGGCAGGGGGAGTGTACTTGACGGTGAAGGTGTCATTGTCATTTTTGATGATGTCAAAGTCGATGTCAGCCTCTGCTGGCCCTACCACGCCCGGAGCACACTTGATACCGATGCTGATGTCCCCTAAGGCGCATAGTAATAAGATTAGTGCACATAGGTCATTCAAATGTGAATAGTAAGAGAGGATAGGTCCATGCAAGTGCCCTTCAACTGAATATGATTACTTTTCCTCAGATGAAATATGAAAGAAGGATACTTTCTTGAAATAGTAATGCACTGTGGTGGAGCATCATAATACACAAAAATGCAGAGTGTGCACACTGTGATAAAAATTGCAATATTTTAATTAACTCCCCACAACCACAGTAGTTCAGGCGCGTTAGAGCCCTCAAGGCATATATTGATTAGAGAAAGCTAGGTCAAAACCAGACTAAAAATTAAAGGCAGCAAATAAAGCTGGACTAAATAAGGAGTAAATTACAAAATCAAAGACTACTCTATCTCTACAAATGCAGGACCAAACAAAGGCCATTGTGCCACTCACTTATATTCATTTGTTTATTTATTTCTACATATAAGCAGCTGCACATGTCTGTGGACTCACCTTGGCCGGCCTCGCTGCAGTCTACGGTGAAGTATGTTGGCTCGTTAGCCTTGAGCCCCGTCTTCTCCACTCCAGGCCCATAGACCTTGACTCTGTCGGGATGAGAGCCCTCTCCAACCAGAACCTAATGAAATCACACAGCACTTGAGACACAAGCAGCACAGCCCTCTCATTTTGTCTTTATTTGGTCAAGTGTCATTTGATTAAATTCTTTGAAAGCACTGAGTTTTACCAGAGGTGTACCAACATGTGTACCCAGAAAGCAAAATATTTTTAAGAGTTCACATTAAATAATTTGTATAATATGTACAGTACATGGCTTCAAATGGCCAAAGTGTAAACAAAAACACAAATGTCTAAACAAATCCACCAAATGAATTGCTTTTGAGTAGTTGTAATTTGTTGCATGCTCTTACCCTGAAGGGGCTGTTGGGCACATTGACTTCGCCCCAGGTAATAATGATGGTGTGTTTAATGGGCTTGAGTGGAGTGTACACACAGTGGAATGTGCCGTCTCCCTTGTCAGTGATCTTGATGTTGATGGAGCATCCCTCTGCATCCTAAGCAGGAAAAGTGTCTTGTCAGCTTTCCTGCCCCCATGTAAAATATGTGAATAAGAAAACACGTTAAACAACATACCTGGGCATAGATCTTCAGTTGACCTTTCCCAGCCATGCGAGCATCTATGGTGAATTCAGTCTGTTTGTTGACAATCACACCAGTCGGCTGCAGCCCAGGTCCAAAAGCTTTCACCTGCAAAAACAAAGATTTAAAAATGTGTTGTTAGTTTCTATATAAAACTCTTATTTTACAAGCACTTCATTTATGTATTGGTTTCAAAGTAATGAAGGATATCTGGATATGTTTCTTGTTCTATGTAAAGTTATTTTTGTGTGAGTTAAGTTATGCCTACCGTACTGCATCAGTACTTTTTTTAACAGTGCAACAATGGTAAGAGGTTTAAATGCATCAAAAAGAGAATAACCTTTTCAGGGAAGACATCGTTTGCAGCAGGGAGAATGTGTGCGATGAAGGGGCTGTCCTTAATGTCCTCATCATCACAAATGACATGGACGGCGTAGTCACCGGGCTCAGTGGGCCAATATCGTACATCACAAGAGCCATCGCCTTTGTCATCACACTCAATTTTAGCCTGAGAGGGGCCCTCAATGGAGAAGCCTGAAAGTGATAAATAGAAATGTCAACTAGGGATATAGAATTGCAATATACTAGTATCGCACTGTTTTGTAAGGTTTGCTTTTAAGATGTACCCAAAGTTCCAACTTCAGTGCCAATAGCCTCCACCACAAAGTCAGCAGATTTCCCAACCATGCCCGTCTTCAGGCCAGGACCCCAGGCTCTCACTTTTTGGAAGCCTGCCTCGGGACCCACCTCCACTTCGAAGGGGCTGAAGTAAATAAAAAAAACATAGTGTAATACACTGAATAGTCAATGGCAAGATAATTGGCAGGAGTCACATTTTACCTGCGTGGGATGGGCTGCCCACCCCATGTGATAGTGACAGTGTATTTGCCAGGCCTCTGTGGGTAATATTCACACTCATAAACTCCATTTCCTGCATCATGGACCTTGACTTGCTCCTCTGCTCCGGCTACAGAAAAACACATTGTAATGGTTTAGTAGAGCTCTGAGCATTGTGCTTTTTTAATGCAGTGACAGAGAATCTAGACTTCTGACAAAAACCAACATGAGGCTAAAAACAGAACTAGCGGGACATATGAGTGAAGAGAGAAGCAGAGAGGAGCTGTCTGACTCACTAGGTCCTCTGACGGAGACGCTCAGTGCTCCGCTGCCAGCTCCCTTGGTGAAGACTTTGAAGTCTGCAACCTCCTTTACTCTCACCCCTTTAGGCTGTAGACCTCTGCCTGTAGCTCGGCACGCATTTGGGTTTATAGCTGAAAAGAATAACAACAAGGCTTTTAAAAAAAAGAAGGAATATTTAGCAAAGCATAAAATAAAACATAGCAGAGACTAGCTAGCAACTGACAGCAGTGTTAGTAGCTAAGATGGTACAATATCCATTTCAAACAGAAGTCTTTAAACATTGATTGACAGGACCTGTAAACAACAATGAGGCGTACATAACATGTATGTCACATAGTTGAAGAAAAGATATTGACTCATTTAAGAGCATCTGGGGAGCATTGGACAACATTTCAACAAAAATGTTGACTGCAGGCTTAAACTGAATGAAGACAATTTTTGATGCAACAATAAACAGAAATGTCAAAGCCCAAGCAATAACATTTAACACAATAAAAAATATTCAGTGCAAATTGGGACAGTCTGCAAGCTGTTTGTACAAGGCTGTCTCTTGGGTTTGTTTTTTCTTTTACAAGAGTCTATAAACCATCAAGCTGCATGATGCAACAACACGAGGCAGGCAACCAAGCACAGTAAGGGGCTGCTCGCGAGATTCTTCAAGCATCTGCAGCATTTGGACAAAAATGATAGAGAGAGTAGCAAAGACTCCTGCCCAGCAAACCATACTAACTTGGGCGGCCTGGTTTTGGGGGGACTGCCCCCTTCCCACCTCCAGGAGGGGTGCGCACTGACTGAGGCGCTATCTGCAGTGGAGCTCCCACAGGAGGAGCACCTTGTGTAGCTAGAAATGACAGATAGGAGGTTACGCTTCGGTGTGGACAGTCGCTCGTGCGAGCTGTGATGGATAGACCGCCCTGACACTAACACATCGCTAAGAAATCAGATTTGTCTGACAGTAATTTACGACACAGACAGATGGCTCACCCTCTGCGATGTTGACAGTGAAAGGGCTCTTGGGGATCTCCTGTCCTGCGAACAGGACATGGATGGTATGTGGGCCCTCCAGCACGGGCCTGTAGGTGCAGCGGAACACACTGTCACCCTTGTTTTCTAAAATCAGCTCCACCGTGTCCTTTTTGCCCTGAGGGTCCACTATCACCACACTCACGTCTCCATTACCAGCGCCTGAAGGAGAACAGACAGACTTGGGGTCAGTTCACACATTATCACATTTGTCATATGTACTATAGCAGGCTCCTGTTCTTACCTGCCGTGTATATGTCAAAGTAGGTAGGTTTGTTGGCCACATTCCCAGTGGGCTCCAGGCCTGGTCCTCTGGCATGGACCTTATTGGGGTCACCTATATCTTTAGCCACATTGACAGAGTAAGGGCTTTTGTCAGTGTCCTGACCTGCAAACAACACTTTCACCTATTGGATAAAAAAGACATAAAATCAATTGATGTTTGTTACTGATTTTGTCCTTGAGCTAAAATACTCATTCTTTGGTTTTACCTTGTGGAGACCCTCGACTTTGGGCAGATAAGTGACCGTGTACGTTTGGTTCTTGTTTTTGTTTGGTTTAACCTTGGCCTATAGTATAAAAATAAACAAACCACTGTTAAATTACATGGATATTACCACATTGTTATTTAGCGCATGGATTAGCTCTGTCTATTGGGAAACATGTTTTATAACTCCAAAAGTATCGGGTTTAACTTGCCTCCTCTTTGTGTCCTTCAGGATCCTCTACATAGACCAGCACTTCACCGCTGCCAGCCTCCAGGGTCTCCACAGTGAAGACAGCAGGCTGCAAGACTTTGTTACCATGGGGCTCAATACCTATCATCCAAAACATAGGCTGTGGTGTTACATAATAATGACATATTGACTGTTTATCTTTGTTCTGGGTTTTTATCATATCAAACACAATTGCACATTGCCATAGAAGTCACAGGGGATTTCAGATATGTTTAATGTGGTAATAAGGACCAAACTAAAACTGCAAAAGATTGAACCATGGTCAAAATCAGGACTTAACCAGCAGTAAACTAGGACCAAAACAGATCTCTGCTACCTACCGGGTCCATAGGCTTTGACTTTCTCGGGGAATAGTTGTTTGTTACGAAGAGGAGCACCGGGCTTGAGTTTGGCCTTGGGGAACTGGGACAGGTAGGTCATGACAGAGTGCTCATCCACATCTGGGTCCACGATCTCCTCAGGGGCAATCACCTGCAGCACACACAAATCAGTACAATTACCAGATTCAGCTTAATTTTTTATTTATTATTTTTCCTTTCCTCCTTATATTGAGAAGAAAAAGTGAAAAGGCCCTTGCAGATACATATACAGCCATTCACCATTTGATTGACACAGAATCATGCCAACAATCATATTATGAATTATGAATGCCCAAATGCTAGCGTCAGTCATTTTCAAGGAAGTCCATATTTTTATCAGTACATTTAATCTTATTTTCATTATATAATTTAATTTTACTGAATTACAAAGTCAAATATTCTGCTATCATATCATAATACTGGGGTTCTATAGGCCAAAAAGATTTAATATAGATGGAGGAGGCTAAAATCTCCAGATTTCCTCTTGTAATATAGCAAATTCCCGGATCTAGTCATTAATACAAATGATCAGGTTCAAAATATGTGAATTTACTTTTGGAATATCTCTGAAAATACAATGTTTCAATGAGGAAAATCTGGTTCTTGTCCCCTATCTAGGAGAATGACCTTATCGCATTCTAGAAAACCACCAATACTAGACAAAGTTACTGAAGAGGATCGATCAAAATTCACTTTATTTTGACTTTTTATTGAATGTCCTCAGCACAGTGGAGCTTACCCTGGATTAAACTTCTTCATTCTCCACCTCTGACTGCACTTTTGCCTTGCAGCACTTGTTTGCCTGTCTATCACACAGTGGTACAAAGCCATGCTCCGTGCTGGATATATTTAACCTCAGGACAGAGGGGTTAAGGATTGTTGCCTACAATAAGCCAACCAGGGGGATTAATCCTGAGCCAGACCTCTCCCACATCTCCTTAACGCCAGCACACTGGTATCTAGCCCCCATGCCCACGAACTATGACATACACCCCCTGGCTATTGCTCCACCTATAAGCCTTTTGGGGAGCGAAGTGTACTGCGTCTGAAATAAACAACTAGACAACCCGCACAGAAGGCATTTCAGTACACCAATGCGGAGACAGGAGCTGGAAACGCAAAGTCCCACCAGATTCCCATTGCTATTCTGATGAATGCGGGCATATTTACACCTCTGTTTTTCAGCCGGTATCTGACAGTGTGCAGAAATCTTGCACCTCCACACATTTCACAGATTCACAAATCTCAAAAATGAAAAAAAAATAAAAATAAAAAAAATACTCCTACACCGTCACTGTCTGAAAGCAACAACAAAGTAAATGGAAATTTTACAAGAAATGAGAACAATAAATATTTCATGAGCTTCCCAAGACAACGTTCTATATCATAGGCTTTACAGTCTATACCATATTCTTATTTGCAATGGTGTGTGTATAATGTAGCAGAGGGAATTGTTTTTTGGGGGTGCCAAAATGCATATACTGTATCATGAAGGAAGGGAATTATTATCTGGTGAGGTGGAAAGAAGGGGCTCTCTATGTGGTCCATGGCTGAAAAAAATTTCATATAAATACAACAGTGTTCTCCAGCAGACTTCTTTGCAGACTATGTTGTATCACATGGCACAACTGATTCCTCTAGCTAGTTGAAAAATTAATTTTTCATCAACATCAGCATAAATATGTTAAAAACATGTCCACAATCATGACTCTATGGGAATATAAATTTGTAGGCAACATGTGCCAAGTTCTTATGTTGGCTTAAACAACATTTGCCATATACTTAAAGTGACAAAATTCAAACAATTGACTACATATTCAAAACTTACTGAACTTCAATTGAATCAAGTACAGATACCTACATTTTTTACTCAAGTACAGTACTTTACTACTTTTACTTTGTTACATTTGACCACTGAAGATTTCAAATGGCTGTAATTTGCACTTGACATTACCTGAGGTACGCCCAACCAGTCATCAGCTTGTTGCATGGCTTCTCTGGCATTCTGCACGGGCTTGTTAGGGTCCCACTCTGCCCAATCAGGACACAGGCCTAACAGAACACAGGAACAGGGTAAACAAGGTTAGATATCTCTTCTACTGGGCTATAATAAGCTCACTTGGGCTGCCATTGTTATCTCTGCACCACCTTCCTCCCCATCACATGACCTTACCCGGCACGCTTGTGTGAGGCTATCATTCAGGAAAAAAAAAAGAAAGAAAACGAAACAGGAAACAATCTCGAGGCACACACACATTAGCACTTTCACTACGGCAACAGCTAGCTCTTCCCTCGTGCCGCTAATGCCTAAATTGGATTAGTGCTGGCTATTGCAGAAGGGACGCCCGCTCAAAAGGCCCATGCAGGCACACTACAGAATAGCCTTATCCCATTATGATTGACACAGAGGCAATATTAACAATTATAAGTGTACACACGGCTGATAGGCGGTGTCAATCATTTTAAGAGGATGCCAGTTGCCTTAATACTGTACTACGTGGGTGGTCAGTTTGGCTGTTTAATGGAATTGCAACAGAGCCTCTTATCAGTGCCTCTACAAATAGTATTATTATTCTGTTCAAATTTTAAAAAGCAGTAGTGTAGGTAATTATGGCAATGCTAAAATTACTAGAACAAAACGTAGTAGTAGGACCAATTTAAGCATATATTGGTGTGAAGAAGAAAGATATTGCTTTTTATTATAATACTAGCACTACAGTTCTTATTACGGTAAACACGGAAAGAGTAGCAAACTTTGTATTCTTGATTGTATGTAGTGTCCTGTAGTTTTATTAATAGAGAATGAAAGGGAAAGTAGAAGATTCAGCAGTACATGTGATTTTGTTTGGTAAAAATTATGTGGAATCAATTCTATCAACTTGAGTATTATATAAAAAGTAAATATATTGTTGCTTTGTTACATCTTATCTATCTAAGTGACATGATATGACTAATTCATATGACTCAGTGGTACAACAAAAACCATTACCAAGCTGTTTGGTTTGAGTAGCTGAAACAGCAGCACCTTGTATGGTCAGCCTGCACTGTGAAGGATGAGCCTGTTCAGATCAATGGTCCTTGTAAACAGTTCTACACAGCTCTACTCTTTGGCTAGTCCTCCACCATTCCCACAGTAAAAGACAGTTAAAAGTATAATATCTAACACTGGCAGTGAGTCAAAACGTGGCTTTGTGATTTTTGGGATTTTTAGACCATCAGTTTGTTGTATCTCTCAGATCACCGTGCATTTTGAAGCTACGCCAAGCATCCCCCATATGACAAGAGAGAAAGAATGCTGTCCAAATTTGGGATTGCTGTGGTGGCCAGTCTATAAACATTATATATTTGGGCCTTAGGGTGCTGGACAGAGTGAGTGAAAGCTTCAGTCATTGTGGGACAGCTGGCAGGGATGTCCTCCAGGCATCTCTGACCCCTCTATATACCCCTGACACTACCTGCCCTCTCGGGACACATTACAAGGCATTTGATTTGCCGTTTCAGTCTAGATCTATGGGTCTACAGTGTGTCACAGGGCAGTCATTTAAAGATGAGGTGCAGATTAGGCTAGTCTCCTTGGAAGATGATACCAATTCACACTTAAGTCCCCTGACCCCCAACTCCATAGTAACCAAAGTAAACTCAAGTACACACAAATTGTAATCTACCAGTAGTTATTCTTACTCAGCATTAGGGGCTGGGCGATATACTGTGTCATAATAATAAATAGAGTTTTTCCACTAGCTTGCACAATGTGAATATAGCTCTTGTTGCCAGTGAATATGTAATTTCTATGACTAAAATATTTAGAAGTAGGGCATTAAACTTATCTTTCTCTATGGAGGCAAACAGGTGAAAGCCAGGCCAAGTTAAAGATCAGATGTATGGAGAGGGTATGTGTTTAATCCCAAAGTGTGGTATTTGGTACAAAATGTGTTAATTTATTTAGTGGGTGCTTGATCTTATCCAAAAATTATGGTTCTAGGCCAGAGTACAGCTTCAGCAGTTTTTGCATTTATTTGGAGAGTTAATAAAACTTCGCTATACCATATAATAAATCCATTTATATTCAACTTCTTTCAAAAAATGCATCTACCTACATCTGCCTACATCCTGTTGTGTTTTGTTGTATATTTCCAATCATATTCCTTAAATTTATGGTCTACGCACCTGGGGCACAGTTGTCCACCAGAGCTCCAAGGGCCTTTCCATCTCTCCAGTCCCGGTTGAAGTTGGTGATGGGCAGCTGAGGCACCTTGTTTTGAATCCAGCCGAGGAGTCTCTGTTTGGGAGTGAGTTTCTTCGTCTCTTCATCATCCTCATCGTCCCACATGGGCATGGAGATGGAGTAGTGCAGAATGAGAGTCCAGATAAGACCCAGGATCAGCTTCAGATTGCCATCCACAATGGCTTTGCTATCTGCAGTTGGACACAAGACAACAAAAGAATTTAGATGGATTTATTTTACAAGCATGAAAATGTTTTATCTTGAATCAGCAGCATACCAGAATATTGATGCTTTTTAATACGTCCAAAGTGTTCATAGTCTTGCATTAGTTATTTAGTAGATGTAGTGTTTTGATGTTAACTTTATGTTAATGTCCAACAATAGCTTTGATAGTAGTAAGTAGTAAGCTAGTAGCAATAGAAATATGTATTGACCTTGATGGCAAAGTGGATACTCTATTCTCAAGTGATGGCAGCATTAAGTACAATGGGTGACGTAGATACAGAAGCTTTGAGAAAGGTGGTCATTGTTGTGGTCATAGTAGTTGTAGAATTGAAGTAGTAGCAGTATTAATTGCTGATTTTAGTAAAATAACAGTGTGGTACTAGTACTAACAAAACTTTGCATTAAATTTATCCAGTAACAATCTCAGCGAGATTCCTCTTGAATAACAACATTTCACTTTTGCAGCATATTCAAAAAGATGTTTCTATCTGAGCAACCGTCTGTAATATCAATAGTCTTGATGTGTGGAGGAGCTGACCAGGCTTTCTGAGTGGAAATATAAACAATGATGAGTGACTGCTGAGGAGACAAGATTCTAACGCCGCTCGCTGCTCCCCTCTGAGCCCCCTTCACTCAGACAGCTGTCCCGGCCCGGACCCCTGACAATCTGTCATCCAGTCACAATGCTGCTCCCAAGGCACTGACAGCTGAGGATATGTGCAAGTGGATCTCTCTCTCTGCATAAATACCACTCGGATTTCAATTACGTCCAAAAGTAGTCGCCACACCAGTAGCAGGATAAATCAAAAAGAAGAGATTAGATCCATTGACAACACATGCACTGCTAATTTCCCCAAGTTCTCAGTGGAAAAGTTAGCAAAGTAAGCTCTTTTTAATCCTCTTCAGTTTAGTATTAAGACATTTAAGCCAAATAGCCTCTAAGGAGATCTCTCATGTCATGATGAAGGTGTTATTTGAGATCCCTATCATTTCAATCTTTTCAGTCTCAGGTACAGCATGTTTATATCTGGTCTAGATTATCCTTCTATACCGCTTTGTCTCTTACGTTTATTTGGTTAGGCTTTTTTCATCTGGTCCTGGTTATTTTTAGTAATTTTAGCCTTAATCATTTTTACCATGGATTTTGTGAGTAATACAAAATTTGCTAGATTGTGTAAATAAATTCACAGTTATCCCCACCCTGATGTTTAGTGGGTATTTTCTGACAGTCAGATTTGATGTTTCATTATTTGATGTCTACAGGCAGGTGGGGACAGGGCCATGGCACAGCAGGCTCTGATCCTCACTGTGTCCAGATTTAAGGCCAACTGTGTGGGCAAAGCCACATCTATCAAATGATCTCCAGTTACAAGTTGTGACACATGTGCCACTAAGCCTGATGGAGTTTTTTTTAGCATCTCTCAGTCACTGTAATGGAAGCAAGCGAGGCATTATCTTTTAAAAGTATTGACCCACTAAAGCTGTGGCAGGGGGAGAGTGCCAGGGCAGGATGTAAAATGCCAGGGCCTCTATTATTATGCCCCCTTTCTGTCAAAAGAGTCTGATACAGTGTGTGTGTGTGTGTGTGTGTGTGTGTGTGTGTGTGTGTGTGTGTGTGTGTGGTGTGTGTGTGGGGGTGTGTGTGTGCGTGCGTGCGTGCGTGTGTGCATGTGTGTGGGTGGGTATGTGTGTGTGTCTGTGGGTGGGTGTGTGTGTGCGTGTGTGCGCATGTGTGTGTATGGGTGGGTGTATGTGTGTGTATGTGAGTGTGTATGGGTGTGTGTGTGTCTGTGGGTGGGTGTGTGTATGCGTGCGCTACAGCTGTGTACAACATTTAGTATGGGTACACTAAAACCCAAAAAACACCTCTGAGGTCAGAGGGCTTAACCTCTGACCTTACCTCTGCGCTCTAAATATACCACACACAAGTGCATATGCTATGGCCTTCACTTGGACACTTGGACAAAATATGCTGAAAATTTGGTTTAGTTCTGGCTTAGACTGGGCCATATTTTGGTTCCTATTTTATACATTTAGTCCTGGATTTATGGTCTAGATGTATATCATCAATAATATTATGTTTGTATTGTTATTTAAAAGTGGACATGTTATGTTTTACCTGGAACATTCTACAGAAAAGCATTAAACTTATCTATCCCCAAGGAGACAAGCAAGTGACACCGCTAGTTCAAGCAACAGGTTGGATCTATGGATCTCCAACCCCGCTCACAGTAAGAAAGCATGTTTTTCAAGGTATTTTTGAGCTACAAAAACACCCATTATTGAATAAATGTAAGATGAATAAGTTTAATGCCATACCATTGGGACATTCCAGGCAAAACAAAATCATAATGGAGACCCAATGGAGGTGACATACCTCTCACCAGAAAGTTACATGATGCACAGTTTGTTTAGTCAGAAAATGGACTTTAGTTATGGTTCTGTTAGTAATTTAGTCTTCAATGTCAACATTTAGCCCTGGGTTTTAGTCCCTATAAATGTAAACCTGGTTTAGTTCTTGATCTAGTCATTAGTGGACATTGTCTTAAATCATTTGGGCAAGATGCTAGTCCTGATTCTGTCCTTACTAACCTTTGAGGCCTGCTTTTGGTTTAGCCCCAATTTTACCCAATGCTATGGGTTGTTTTTCTTCATAAACTACTATTATAACTTTTGCTATGTCAAAATAGACCTAAATATTATTGGTCATATCATTATCTCAATATTTAACACAGCTCCCTCATAGTCCACTGACCAAAAGCCTCAACCACGCTGGGAATTTCACTCAAGTGTGTGGCAACATCATTAGTCACTAAACAGAAAAAAATAAAGTGTCACAAGTTTAATAAGTTTCCGTCCTGCTTGAATTGTGTGCTCGTCCACAACGCTATAATTAAGTAATACGTCTTCTTCTCGCCTCTGTGTATTTCATTGGGGGATGTTAAATGTTTGAAGAGGTATTCTATTCACCCCCGCAGTTCACCCTGACACAAATCCACAGAATTTAATGCAACTCCAGCTATCTGTCTCTTCCGCTGGATCCCAGAAGAGCTAATCCCCTCCTCACTCATGTTTGGGGACAGGAGAGGCTGTCAACAGAGAGTCTTGGTAACTCAAGTTTGACCTTTCACCTTTCAGTGTGTATGGAGTCTTATGTGAGTGCTGTCAACTGGTGCAAAAAATCCATCTGTTTCATTATTGCAGCCTCACTGAGCTCTCAACCTGAAGTTCATGATCACAAAACTGCACCAGGCTAGGCTAATGCATCAGCACGGCTCTGAGACAAGTGGGTGACCTCAGTGGCACCTCTGCAGTAATTTTCCAATGAGTGCTTTGACCTATGCTTAGTGTCACTTATCATTAGACTGTCAACAAACCGCTTCCGGATATGAAAGCAAGTAATACAAAAATACAGCTAATATGGCCAAATAGTAGCCTAGTAATAACAGTAGTAGTAGCAGTAGTAATAGTAGGCTATGTCACTAAGATACAGTGTGTTGTCAAGGTATAAATCTGCCTTGTTAATGTGTAATCATAATTCTCTTCACTTAGGTTCTCATTAGTAGGCCTAGTTCAATTAGAGTGGACCCAATAACTATGGGCCTTAGACGGGGTATCCAACATTGGCAAGACAGACATGCATGCATTATCAAATTCTACATCTATGAGCATTATCTTACTTAAACTTCAATTGTATTAATGCAAATGTTTCTAATGTGTATTAACTTACCAATAGACACTAATTTAATTCTTTCTCTATCCAAGAACTCCAGCGCCACTGATACATTTTCCAACTTCATCTGTCTAAAGTTGGGTCTCGCGTGATGCTTCCGGTACATTTTCTTTTGGCTCAGCACCTCCAGGAGAGAAATGAGCTTGAGGCCGTCGCTAAAATCCTTCTGCAGGTCGGTGATGGTTTTGTTGACACACTTGAGATGCTCGTTGCACCACCTGGTAAACGTGTTCTGCTGGATCTTCTTCCATGGCGCATCCTCGGCCAGATCCTTCTCCGTGGCGGGCATCTCGTCGTCCTCCTCTTCCCCGTAGTCCGCGGCCTGGTAGTACTGTGGAGGCAGCGGCTCTTCCCCGTAGTTATTGCTCATCATGATCCCTTTTATATACTTCGGTTGCACTTGTGTGCTAAAAATGCGCGTAAACTTTTCGCGGCCTTATGGCAAAAACAAGTTCAGTTCAAACTTGGGAGGCGTTTTCAAGAAAGCACCTCGGGATTTTCGGATGCACTTGCGAAGAATGTCTCCGTCAGGAATATGATCGATTAATTTATTCGGTTTAACAGTGTCCAAGGCAGTTGCTCGTCCGCTTCTTTTAATTGGCACCTTCTTGACAAACCGAGCCCTTCAGAGTAGATGAACTGTGTGAAGGTGAGTAGAGTAGCACTGTAGTGTCTTCAATGTTTGAGTGTGTCCACAGATGGGTTTATAAAGGGCCCGGGACGCGTCATCCAGGGTCTGTGATCATGGTCTATTTGCTGGTCCATAGGAATACACTCAGTGGGGTCGGTTTACGTGGCGCTGATTGGCCCGTGCGTCTCAGTTGCAACACGGGCCTTATTTTTAGGCGCCCCTATTTGGACTACAGGGGGCAGGGACTTACCGATTGTTGTGAGTGTGCGTCGTGCGTGCTCCAGGGTCGCAGGGACTTAACAACGCAGCTAATTCAAGAAAGTGATAGTTCAGATGAGTTTAGGGGTACATATAAAAAAGTACAGACGCATGACATTTACTGAAAGTTATATAGGAACTTTTAAAATTATTAGGTCATGATGAAGCAGTTGCATTATCTGCGTGCACATCGCAGCGTCTGCCACCCATAAGTGAAATATATTACCATGAAGACAGGCAAAGGTCAATAGCAGCGCAGGGAGCTTTAGAGGCTTCCACTTAATTTAAGGAAATGGGCCTGTTCTAAGCTCTTCAGTAGTTCCCATAGCACTAGTGTCATCAAACAAGGGTGACTGTGGCCACTTTCAAATTACATCCACCCTGCCCACAAGTATTTATATTTTTGCTTTAGTTTCTTATGTTTAAAAGTCCTATGTTATGCATAATTGACTCTTGTAAACTTTAAGCCATGTTATAATGCTGTTACCGCCTCAAAAACATTCACACTATTTGAGTAATCCTGGATTGTTATAGTGTACATCTCCAAAGCTCAAAATGCTCTGTTCCACGTTGCAACGTCGTGAAGCAGTTTTCAAGTTAACAGCGGTCTGAAATCATACAAATGATTCTAGTGAAGGTGTATGGAGTTTAGAAACACAGTGGAGCACTCCCTGTATTACCACATGACATCAACAGGTGGAACATGGCGTGTTTTCTATTTGAGAGAAGAATCAATCTAAATATGCAGGATTTGTGTGTTAAACATGTGTGGAAGAAACAAAACACAAATCCAGATATGTTTTTGATAAGAAAACAACTTTATAACAGATTAAAAAATAGCATAATATGAGCCCTTTATATAAGAAAATAATTCACACCTCAGTTTCTTCACTACAAGGATATATGTAATACTAAATGAAACTGCAGAAATAGAGTAACTGTAGTGTACTCTAGTAAGATGGCAAAAAGCTAAAAACAAAAACGATGCATTATTTATAGGCTGCTTAGTATTGACCTAGTTAGTTAGCATTTTTCTTTTGATCTTTTACTCCTACTGTACCTCCTACTCACTCACAAAACTTTCCTGCAAATTTGACATTTTCTTAAGAACTTAAGTTGAATTGAAGGAACTTTATTTAAATGAATGTTTGTATGTGTAGACAGACGAAGCGTGGTGGTTCCTGGAGTTGCTGGACTGTCATGGACCTGTGAGTCAGCAGCACACAGGGACTTGGAGGTGCGGGGTAAGAATATCTGTGACACACGCTCAAGGCATTCATGGCATTTTAAACCTGCAGCCTCAAGTGTATCTCACTGCCAGACAGATCATATTTTGTGTTTTCTTACACCTATTGTTTACTGACTTTTAAACTGTCTGTAACAATAAACTTTATGGTGGCAGTTTGTAGCAATATGAAGCAATAGAAGTGATAGATTTAGAAATGGCAAAGCAGAAATTAGGAACAAACAGTGGCAGAGTGGTTAGTATCTTTGTATGCTATGTGGCTTAATTCTGATACTGGCTAATGACAACAGAACCTGTGGTGGAACGTAACAAAATAAAAGTAGTATAGATGTAAAAGTTTTTGGTATCTGTACTATTTTAAGAGGATACTTTTTATATCTACTCCACTACATTTCTGAACAGAACTGAAAACTGAAAAGTAAAAGTTTTTTTTTTTTGTTATTAGTCTGACACCTGCTGAAATGTCTGTGCCTGGTTTTTAACATGTTTGTAGTTTGAGCAAACAAAATATACAAATAAAAGAAAAAAAAAACTCTCTTCTGTTGTTTCTGTTGAGTATTTTGTTTGCTCTAGTCTCTTTTCCTTTGATTAAGTACTTAACAAAACAAACAGAAAGAGACCTCTCTAACAATTTTAGATGAAATGTTTTAAATGTTGTTTTTAGATTTTTTTTTTTTTTTTTTCACAAATTTGACACTTGAAACAGTGAGGGTGCATGTACATAAATAAACGTCCTCACAGTTGACACAGTTATCACCTGACTCTATTCTTACCCTCTCACCCTTTAATTAGGCTTATACCAATGCCTGTCAGCTGAACTTATTAAATATTTAGAATAGGATTTGGGGGACATGCACTGGACAGATAGGCCCGTAGCCAGGAGCCATTTGATTAGATTTCACAGACGATCTGTGACTGACATTTTACTCATTAATGCACTTTTCATTTGGACATCCATAACTCTGACAAAACAAGACAGAATTGATAAGATTTAAGGTCCCTATATGTTACGGATGACATTTTCCCTCCATATCCTATAACATAAATCACACTTTATAAATCGTTGTCCTTATCGTACCCTGCCTTGAATAAAGAATATGACTTCAGATCCAACCCGTGTCTAATCATAGGCAGTTCATATCACAGGACATACTGTTTACGCTTCATCAGTAGAGTACGCAGTGTGTCAGTTTTATTCCTACAAATTTCTATTTAAAAAGGGATGTAACATATTGTACTAGTAGTATTTCTAGATACTGAAGTAGGTACATTGTGTAATTTTTCTGGTGGAGGGTTCACCACCTGCTTGTCTCCATGATGAATATGTTATTGCTTTGCCCGAAAGCTCCACAGTTTGACATTATACTTTTATATCTCTATGGAGACAAGCAGGCATTGCCACCAGGCCAAGTTAGGGGTCAGACCTGTGGGGAGGCAAGTCCACCCTCAAGTAAGAATGCACATTTTTCTATGTATTTTGAACAATAAAAACACATGTCACTGAATAAATATTGATAGTTTAATGACACAGTTTAGTGACATTCCACTGTCTGTGGAACATTACTGGCAACCCTAACCCAGTGAAGTAGTGTAACCTAAACCAGAAAAGTTCCACAGTGCACCTTTAAGGGAGGACAATGAGCTAACGTTAATGTACTTCCACTTAAGTACACTTATTTTGCACTTTATCAGGTCAGATTTACACCAGTCTGGTCTATTTGAAATCATTGGTCTTGGTGCGGTAATCTACAGTTGCCATATAAAAATCTATATATACCTACATAGAAATATTTCCGGTGTGTAATTAAGTTATATCTAGTACTATGGTAACATATATTACCCAGCTCTATGTCACTCACCCTGGTTACTTTTAGATAATTACTGCTTTAAAGCCCTGGTAAACCATGACTGTTGATGAGTAATGACTTGTGGAAGGAGGGCCTCGTGACTCTCCAGTCTTTCACTTGTAACTAAACTATATCTGTTTGCTTACATCATGTCTCCCTCTGCTCTTTAGGTTATTAATATCACTACTACCCATGTAACGTGATGCTGTACAGGGGACACTCAGGTCCTGGGAGGATTTCATGAATGGGAGGCCTAGACTTGAACTATGAGACCACAATCTAAGTAAAGAAATCCTTGAGTCTGTTTGGCAAGGAAGGTATTTTTATTTCTTCAAGTCATTTACAGTACAAAATAGACCTCCAGGTAACAAAATAGCCACACCTATAATATTGCGAACATCAATCCTAGTACATGTAAGCAGCAAGCAGAGAAACATAGTGCAATATAGAAGCAATTGATGGTATGTACTGTACTTACACAAGAGGATGCAGTAGTTATGGGTATTAAGTAGTTACTCTTGTTTCTAATTAGTGTAGAGATGGGTGATACTGGACTAACTGGTCCAACAGCAACAAAATTAAAACATTAAATTCATAAAATAAGGCATTAAGAATGACCTAACAGGAATGTACTGTCATCCAAGTATAACTGACCCATCACCTGCCTGTCTCCATGGAGATGTTATTGCTTTGCCTGGAATATTCCATGGTATGACATTAAACATTTCTAGCATTTATTCATTACGGGTGTTTCTATTGCTCAAAAATACAATAATTCTCTCTGTGAATAAGGGCGACTCTCCACACATCTGGCCTAGTAGTCCCTCTTGAGATAGATGGAACATTCTAGACAAAGCAATAACATTTCCATGAAGACAAGCAGGTGACTGTCCCTCTAGCAGAAACGTTACAACAAAGTCTGTTTACAGATTGTCACAAGTTTGTAAAGATGATAAAATCTTGTATTGAGTAGACACTTAAATCCTTCCATTGTACTGTGCAAAAATAATAACATTTTTGGAATGCTAGGATTTGTGGCAATAAAGGTATTTGGAAATTACAGGAAAAATAATTATTTCATTCGATACAGAAAATCTTACTATAAATTCATGCAATGCTTGATGGGTACATTTAGATTTTTGTTTGCGATTTGATCTTTACACCACTTAACAAACATACTCGATAGCGTGGATAGCAAGACCAAAGAGGTTCTAAAGCTGAGTCACTGAAATGACTTTGTCTGAGCAACATCACCATAAATAATAAACATTTATAACATAGCATATCATTTAGATATCAAATATACATTTGCTCTCCCAAAAAATAATCAACTTTCTACAAAGCTAGTACAAATGGGTTTAAGAAATACAGTATCTCTCCCATAGGTCTGCACTGTATACTGTATGTCGCATCTATTTACATCAAATACAAAGCAACAAAACATAAATTATAGATTGTGCTTCTCTAAGGTTTGCCGCATGCTTGTTTCACTTTTAAAATATATCACAAATATAACAAAATTTCACAAGTGTAAACAAATATCCACATATAGTATATTAAGATCTGTTATTTTTCTTGGTTTGGAAGTAACTCAACATATGTAACTGCTCATCTCTGCTGCACGGGATTTTAAATGAGCTTTAGCCTACTTATTTATATTTATGGGGTACACAGGGGATGACTCAAACTGTAACATTTTAACAACATTTCCAGAGTATATTAGTTCATAGTGTGAATCCAATACGCTTATCAGTACCATTATGATAAGGATTTAGTAAAAGATACAAGGGGTTTTAGTTATTGATAGTGAAATAGGATGGCAAGATATTGGACCTAAATTATAGTCCATACTTTTACCTAGATTTTTTGTTCTTTATGCAAAATTTGCTATATTCAGACACTAAAAGTTTTTGGTTTAAAAATTCTGTACCTTAAAAATGTATTTCATCGCTTTATGTATGAGAAGAAAAATAGAAAAATAATCAAAATCTGTGCTGTCAATAATCAGTTTGTGAGAGAGAGCCTTATCCTTGGACTTGTTGCAATATTGCAGCTGATGTGAAGACGTAACACAGCACATAACAGAAAACCCATTTGCTAAAGGTTAAAGGTCACCACGACAGATGATTGACAGGTGCTTATTGAGGCTGAACTCTATTCGCTGCACTGTCAGAGCAGTCAGTGGGCCTTACAATGGGATAGTCCACTAACTCTGTTTAATATTCTGAGGTAATTTGAAGGTGAATTATTATGTAAAAGAAAATAAACAAGCAACCAATGGCTTGTTTATTAAAGGGACTGTGTAGGTTCAGTGCATTCAAAGTGCAGACCATATATGTTTCATTATTATCAAAGACAGCTATGAACAAAACACCCAAATAAATAAATTAAATTACCGAAAAGCATCAGAAGCACAATAATAAAACCTTCATCATTCGTATTTTGCGTTAAAGAGTTATGCACAGACAATGACACAGCACTAGCATACAATATGAGGAGTCAGTTTGGGTCATCTTCATCTGCACAAATTTCATCGGACGCCACTCAAGCGAGGCCTGGGCATTTTCCTCCGTCTGTCTGCATGAAGTACCTTCTCATTATAGGGACACCATTTCCCCATTCGTTTATATTATATTTTACAAAAAGTTGCAGTCATACACATGGCAGGAGAGATACCAGGGTGTGTGTCCTCGCTGTGCAGTGATTGTTGCCATCCAATCAGCAGCGGACAAGAGCTCTCAACAAGCTAGTCATCATTAGGAGCACTGCTGTGGCTGCAGTGACAGTCAAAATGGAGCCCCAACCTATCTCACCCCCCTGAGGGAAAAACAGGAGAGAAAAAGCGGTGTTAGCACTCACAATTGGGCCTATGCTATTATTAAAACCAGTACAGAGGTATTCAGGAGAGTGTGGCCTTTTGCCTTTTTCCAGGGAGATAGCAAGAGGGTAAAATGAGGGGATTAGCATTCGTTCAGTGGATGCTTAAGCGCAGGCTAAAAATAGGCGCAAAAAAGGTCTAGTCCACATAATTAGCATGTGGGTCATATCTGTACTTCATAAAAGGAAGTGTAAATACTATTAACTTAATTAATGTGACGAATTAACTTGTTTTTAACGTGTGAAATACAAAATACAAATACCACATTGAGCCGTTATCATGTATTCGTTACAATTCACCAACCTGACCAACAGTTTTTTTTTTAATTTAGCGGTATTATGTACATAATGGTGCTCTGGCAATTATCGCTCCACATGGCCTATGTTTTGTTTTTGTTTAATTTCCAGTTCATTGAGGTGATATTCTTGTACAGTCTTTACAATCACATTTCAGATAATTGTGGTTGTAAATGCCTTAAGAGAATGGACTTTAAAATTTGCCAAAACATACCAGATTCATGAAAAAAAAGTTGTATACAGACTAGAGCCCGATCGATATATCGGTTGGCCGATATTATCGGCCGATATGGGCAAACGGTGGCATATCGGCTATCGGCCGATATGCTTGCTGATAGGGGCCGATATTTCACGTGGGCATGTGATACGTCGTTAAAAATCTTAGACTCTCTACATTCTGTTCATTTAATCCAATTTACAGACAGATAAATGTCCTAATATGTGGCTCCACATCAGTATTTATCTGCGGAGTCATTTGTCTGTGTGTGAGTCTGTACTGTCTCTGAACACACCCCCAGAGTCGCGTCTCTCACGTGTGTTTGTTTACACCTGCAGACACAGATCCAAACACTGAGATTATTTTCTTTTTACGGACAATCGGTTTGAGTCTGGATTAAAAGCACATTTATTAGTGCAGATTTGTGATGTGAGGAGGAGCCTGTATGAGCGGTGAGTGTTGGAAATATGTCGACTTTGAAACTAGTTTTGGTCATTTGTTATGGGTTAGCTGCTGTAGCTCCCGCACATAAACAGGCTGTTTTCTATTGGCCGATTGTAAATTGACTACATTGGCCGTATATTTGTTACTGGACCTGCATTGATATGTAAATGAGCTGTGAATAGACGTGTGAATGATGAAATTTGCGCATATAATTAATTACCGCGGCGCGCAGCATTTACGGCTAAAGGCTAATAGCGCTAGCTTCTTTACTAGTGATGGGTCGGTCGCGAACGAAATGGCTCTTAGAGCCGGCTCTTTGAAGCGAACGACGGGAGCCTGATCCTTATTGGGAGTCGTGCTTTCTCTTTCTCTCATTTTTTTTCTCTTTACGCTACGTGCAGACTCGTGGTAGTTTGACAGCGGCGACAAGTGAAACTTTGAGAAATTTGCGTGTACATAGGATAAAAAAACATGCATATTTGGCTGTAGTTTAGCATAAAATAAATAAACCAGGATTAATCTTGGGCACGAGATACAGATCGAGTCCTGACACTCCTGGTTCAGTTTTGGTTTAGTCCTGTTTTACACGTGGTCTAGATCTGTTTTAGTCCTTTTTCAGTCCTGGTTTAGACCTGGTTCAGTCCTGATTCAGTCCTGAAGAGCCGCTTGGGAGCCAAAAGAACCAGCAGCTTTTAGTGAGTCAAGCCAAAAGAGCTGGTTCTCTAAAAAGAACTGGAAAACCCATCACTAGTGTCTAGAATGTGATGCAAAAATGCCATTAAGCCAACCTACTGTCTGTAAATATGATGTAAAGAGGCAGAATAACAATAAATGTTGCCTAATTAAACCCAATTTAAAATCCAACAAAGCCAAACCTAAGTTTTTTAAACAATTCAACATTTACAGTGAATTTTTACATCACTAAATATATCGGCGATTATATCGGCTATCGGCAGCGCCAAACCACATTATATCGGTTTCATATCGGCCACAGCAAAATCCATATCGGTCGGGCTCTAATACAGACATTAGACTTGATATTGCATTATTTACATCTTTAAAACAACAATTTCATTTGGTGTTTGAGTAAAATGAACCTATCACCTCTGCACCTGTGTATAGTAATGCATATTTTCCATTGTGTGTAGAAGTTGGGGTCTGTTCCCATACCTTGCTCTCTGGGACGCCAGCTCCGACAACCAGCACCAGACCACAGCCACTATTACAATCATTCCTATGAAGGGGATGGAGAGAACAGGGTGCTCAGACGCATGGATGAATCTCTGAAGGGACAAGCACAAGGACGATGGGCGTGAGGGGAATGAATGGACGATGGATACAGGTAAATCAAAAACACAGAGATACCATTCACGTGGCAACAAATATAAACATGACAACAGAAAAATCACAAATTATAGTGGACGGGTTATGGCTGTGTCGTAAAGCGAAGGGACAGGGGGTGGTGATGGGGAAGAGTCAAGTGCAGAGCAAGAAACAAGGTATAATATAATTGCAACAAGCTAATCAAATAAAAGTAATCAGAGGTGGAAGAATACCTTTAATAGTTTGCTAAGTAACGTTTCTGGTGGAGGGTCTGTGGGGATGTTATTGCTTGGCCTGGGATGTTTGCTGTTAAAAGTACTTATCTTGCATTTATTTAATTACTGAAGTTTTATTGCTACATATACCTTAAAGGTCCCATACTACGCAAAATAGACTTTCTGTAAAGTTTAAGCCAAGTTATAATGTTGGTACCTCATCCAAAACATACCCGGAGTCTTTTGGTTCATTCATACAAGTTTGAGTATGCTCTATTGCACCTTGTGATGTCATGAAGTGGTAGTTTTCAAGTTAACATAATAGTAGAGATTGACAATTCCACGGTTGAACTATATCCAAATGATTCTAGTGGAGGTGCATGGGGTTTAAAAACACAGTGGAGCACTTCCTGTATGGCTGCATGATATTGCAAGGTGGAACAGAGTGATTTCTGTTTGAGAGAAGAACTCTGCAGGTTTTGTGTGTTAAACGTGTGAATGAAACGAAACACAACTCCAGGTATGCTTTTGATGAGGAAACAACATCATGACATAGATGAGAAAACTATGTAATATGGGCCCTTTAATACATCCATTCTTCCTTTGAACGAGGTCTCTCCACAGATCTGACCTGTAACTTGATCCGGGAGCATCATCTGCTTGGAGATAAGTGTAATGCCATGCTCTCTAGGCAACACAATATCATCAAATTGGAAACAACCAGCTGGTGGTGGTGTACCCAGCACCAGAAAAGTTAAATAGTGCACCCATAAATCTCTACCTACTGGGAGACTCAAATTTGGGTAGAAGTGGTATTACTCACCAAAATGAAAAGTTATTAAACTTAATTACTTCTTCACTTCACTTCCTTCTGGTGAGGCCAAAACTTTCACACTTTAAATATTTGAGACTTTGAAATAAAGGTGAGTTCAAATAAAAATTATTAAAAGTGTTTTTACAACTGGAAACTAGTACTATTATTTTACCATAGCACTACTTCTACCCTCTAATTTAAATATGGTAATTCATGTAATGAACCCACTCCTCTGAAATGTGTTCTTCCACCTCTGAATGTGACTGCAGTGCTTATTTGCAGCATGTGAAATGAGAAAAACATAAAAAGACAATGACACACAGACGTAGTGGTTTAAGTGTCTCTCTATCCTCACTGAATTGAATTGTAATTGCGTTGAGTTAGTATGTCATAGTAGTCTTACAGGCTGAAGGGTCATGGAAACTCAGAGAACAAGGACAGGAACATTTGGACAGTTTGACAGCACAAACACCCCATAAAGACAAAAGACGATTTTTACTAAAGAACAAAATAAGTCTCTAATGTAACTTCCCAATGCCTATTTTCCATGTTGAATAATTTATGGTGTACCTCTAGCTTGAAAATAGGCATTGCAAGTTCATAGTGGGTTAATGGACAGACACAGGGGGGAGTATAGTCCAGGTCAGAACATATAGTGACCCCATCACTTCACATCACAGCGTATAGTGGTAGTACAGCGAAAGAGACGAAGACATAACAGGTTCAGTGAACACGGATACGGCAGAGATGTGTGAGATGTGTCATAGGACATCTGACAGTTATACGGTTATATTGATTCACTGTGTACCAAACGCAACTTGTTCAGTCAGAAACCATATGTTGTCGCAAGACTTGTAAGAAATATTTTATACTTTTTGAACTTGTAATAAATGTAAGAATTGCAAATACTTTTTTTTTTCCTTTTGCAAAATGGAATCCTTCTATCAGACTAGACAAAAGATGACATTCACTAGAGAAAAGACGACACTAAATCAAGATGTGATGTAATGTGTCCTGACTGAACAATTCAAAAATGCAAATTGCAAAAACACTGAGAAACAACATCTCAGATCACTAGCAGAGTTATAATTGTGCTCATGAATAGAGATTTGGTATGTATTGTCTTTCAAACAGAAACTTCAAGTCAACAACATGTGCTGTGACAGATTGTAATTCAAAGCTACATAAAATGGCTTTGTGTAGAATACCGTAAATTATGGTTGCACAATGTGGCGTTATCAAAAACAAATATGGCTTTCTAAAACTATCAAAGCATCGTCTTTCCAGTCATTTTTCCTTGTGACCTTTTGTATATAGCTGAGATATATTTGTATATATCTATTTCTGTATTTTATTTTTAATGTACAAATAATGTAATTTTTAATGTAAAAATGTCAACACATGTATTTTCTATTGTACTGCATGTGTGTTTTTTGTAAGAACAGTCCCTCCCATGTGCTGCTTGTACCTGGGACCCTCCGGACAGTTTCTCCAACTCGGCCTTGCATCTCTGTAGCTCCTCCTCCAGCTCCGCCCTCTCCCTCTGGCTGCTCTCATACAGCTCCTGTAGATCCTTCAGCTCGACCTTCAGACTGTCACACTGAGGGCAAAGGTCAGCATCATGTCTTTGGGCTTTAAACATCTAAGGCATCTGTACGTTTTATTTACATTCAAGTTCATTGATTTAGGGCAGTTTACTGATTTAAAGCAACTAAAACTAACCAAAATATTCTACAGCTGTATAATTAAGTAAAGCAATAAAGCAAAAAAGACATCCGGAAGAAATCTGCTTGAAGGTGTATAAGTTTTGGGTTGGGGGTCCACCTGCTTGTTTCTATGGAGATGTCATTGCTCTGCCTGGAATGTTCCACGGTATGACATTAAACAGCTCTACCTTTAATAAAGTATATGTGATTTTATAGTTCAAAAATATCTAGAAAAAACGGTGGGCAGGGATGCCAACCCATAGATCTGACCTGTAACTTGGTCTGGTTTGGTCTCAGTACATTTAAAGGCAATGAGTTTTTATGTACAATTTAAAGTGAATACAGGTATTCCATATCACCAACAAATTCACAATGAAGTTAGATATGGTTTTTGGTCCTTAACAATTACTTAATAAGATGTCAGCTATAGTCTAAGAAAAAAATCAGTTTTATAAAGCATTTGGGGATTTATCAGTTATAGAGATGTTAGATTAAAAAGAGTAGTATGTCTACAGGCAAAAGTATTCAAAATTTATTGGCGAATTATACACCATAATATGTAATTTGGATCTTCAATGCATATTTTATTCCTACTTACCTCCCTCTGAACCTGCAGCGCCTTCTCCTCAGCCTGTTTGAGCTGGTCCCGTAGGGAGAGGATCTCACCCATGCCCCCGCTCCAGCTGGTGGGAGTCATAGGCTTCCCGTCAAAGGAGATGTTCTTCTGGATGGAGGCGTCTCGTAGGTGGCAGTTCTCCGAGTGGGCCATGGTCATGTAGCTCTCTGTCAGGACCTCCTCAGAGTCCAGACCTTTGCCTTCAGGGGCGTCACTGTCCTCCTCCTTCAGAGAGAGGTACACACTGGAACTGCGAGGGTACAGGTCAGTAATAGAATAAGAAGGATCAGAGCGGGGGCATGTAGTAATTAAATATGAATGAGAAAAAGCGTTGAAAATGTATCTGATTAAGATGAGTTAGATCCAGGGAGAGTAACATTTTAGGGGAACTGAACAACCATGAAATGTAGCTATTAAAGATTTGGTTCAGTTTTGGTAAATTATAGTGTTTAGAAGGCAAGTCAATACAATTAAGGTTTATGTAATTAACACAAATTTGAATTTGTTACTGGATTAAGGTTGGAGTATGAATTTAAAATAGGCTATATATTTTGTTAGACTAATACTTCAAATTCCCTCAGTTTGTATTACAAGGTGCATTCACGTGTCACAATAACGCACCTTTCATAGCAGTACACTGAAGTCATTGTTTATTCACACACATACAAGATTCATGCTAGGCAACCTGGGTTAAGTGTCTTGCCTAATGACAGAACAGCAGACATTGATTTACCTGAAATTCGTGTTTTACTTTGACTACTATGATCATTTTTGTGTTCTAGTGTTGGCCTGTACTAATTTCTTATAAGCTTGTTGTCTATTAATAGCCTGTTTATATTTTATAATATTGACAACACACTCTATTTTTTGGGCTTCATGTTTTTTTTTTTCTTAAAGCCTTCTGGTCCAAAAACACCATATATTTTAAAAGTTAGTTCCCGTTTGATCACATCTCACCATCTTCCCACACAGATGGAGCTTTAGTTCACCATCTGCTAAATCCTCCTCTGAAATGGACCTCATGGAGAGACTGTTGTGTCTTCAGCTGTTTCCAAGGTCACTGATGAATTTTACCTCAAATATTGCCATTAATTATTGAACTAATGGAGTGTAATAATCTCTCACATTGTACCAAGAAATCACAGGTGGTGTGCAACAGATTCATCTTTTGAACTAAGGACCTGCTCACATCATTTAATCTAAATCCAAACTAAGATTAACAAAGACTTGTCTGAAATCTGTCCTAATTTAGGACTAAACAAGTATTTACCTGGACCAAACCAAGAATGAGAAAAAGGACTAAAGCAGGATTAAGATGGACACAAGCATATACAAGGTCAAATGAGGACTAGCCATTAGCTACAGCATTCACAAAATTCCCCCAAAAAAAAGGTTATTTAACTATTACAGTTTACAGCAATTAATATATACAGTATTGATGACCTCAGTATGCAGTCTATAGGCTTTTTTTGTCTTATTGTATTCTCAAGACCCTACTGCATCTGTAAACATCAGGAAAGCACACACACACAAACTGCCTAAGACATTTTTGTGACAGGCAGTTTCGTTTTCTACTTTCCCCAAAACCCTGAAAAATGACTTAGGCAATTATGCTAGGAAGCTAACAATATGCAGTGCTCACCTGGTCCTCTGTCTCTGCAGCAGCTGGAGCTTCTCTGAGAGCCGTCTGTTGTCCTCCTTCAGCGTCTCACACTCCTCTTTCAGTACACGACACTCCTCCTTTAACAAATCCACATCACCTACAAGGACATTGAAACACAGGTGAGTGGACGGGAAAAGACTCATCTATTACTTTATACTCAGGTAAAGGTTAAGTTTGAATAACATGTATATGTTTTCTACAGCACACAGTTTGCCTTTATTTCAGCTACAGACTTTTTCAGATAAGACATATGCTCCCAATAACACATACCGTACTTGTTTTACTTTGTATCCACCCAACACAAATTATTGCTTAAACTCTTTCCCTTATGAAGCAGTTCACTAATTTGCTCTTGTAAGAGCATGTTTATGTATTTGTAAATAGTCAAATCAAAAAGTAAAAGTCCATCTTATTTACCTATAAAATGAATGATTGGATTGAAGTTTCCTCTCCACAGACTGCCAGCTTCAGCGTACAGCATGTGGTTAGTCTTTTCTTGAATAGTGCCTACTGCCTGCTGTGTTTACCAATGCACTGATAGATCCTGCCCCTCCCCTCATTACCTCATTGCTCATAAATGCCTTAAATGGAGATTAGCACACATTTGTAGATGTACACAAACACTCCACGCCCTTCTCAACCCTCCACAATCATATTTGTAGTCTGTAATATTCATTAGTGTGAATGATTTATGGAGGAGCTGACATGTTGTGAGCGCCGTCCAAGACATCATGCTTTGTTTTGTTAATTAGCCACAAAGCTGTGCTGTTTGTTTTTGTGTTACTGATCAGCTGTGGGCTTTGAGGCTCTTAACTCAATAATAGTCACTTTTTATTAGCTTTGACAGACTGATTATTTGTGATTGTCTTGTCGTTACTAATATTTTTATTCATCTCATGTCCCACACTCCCCATAAAAGCATCAGTCTTGAAATAAACATCATACATTTTTGATAAATTGTTTAACTTGTTTACACAATTATTTCAAAGACCAGCTACATGCATGACCTACAAATATAATGAAGTGAAAATGAGATACGTGACAGAAATATTTCAGTATATTTAACATGAATTCTCTAATTAATAGCAGTTCTCCACCAAAGCAAGATCTTAGTGTGTGAATGGTGTTCACTGAAAATGACAATAAACCGGATTCTGATTCAGTCTCCTGCATCAGTCAGAAAGCCTACACTTAATTCAAGGCAATCTAGAGATCTCAATAATTGAGTATTGCACGGTACAAAACTAGAGTGTGATAAATGTTTAAACTTCAGCATTACCAGTTTAAACATTCTCACAGGTATTTGTATGTAGACTCATTTCTAAGGACCAAATGAGCCAAATCTGATTTTATTTGAATTTGAAAACTCAACACACAGCTTGAACACATTTCTTGTAGATTGCAGATCTTGCTGCAATATATTCATCTTATTCCACCCCACCCACTTTTGTTTCTAAATGCTCTTAAACAGTGCTTTCTTGTGGTGGCACTTCCAGTTAAACAGGGATCCCATTAATTAAAATGGCGAATTTGAGGAGAGTTTTGCGTCTTAACTATATAACATAAGTAGGTTCATTCGTGTAAGATATTCAGTGTTCATGTGCACCAAGAAGTCAACACTGCACCGATTCTCTGGGGGGCTTTAAAACGGCTTTATAGTCCATATTGAACTTATTTACTGTCAAGATCGGCAGCCCCATACAAAATAATATAATCCAAATGATGATGGTGACGCACACAGCAACTTAAGGAATAAGGTGAATAGAGTTACTGTACATCTTTAGTATAGTGGTGCATTGATAAAACTTCTTTAAACAGGAATTACTTAATCATTATTAAACCAAATACAAGTTTAGTCAAGGTTAAACCACGGCCAAGTGTCGTACTAGATGAATACAATTTCATTATTGATTAATTCAGTGGTGGATTGTAATGAAGTAAAAGTAGTAGAGGACTTTACTTGAGTAAAAATGGTAGGTATCTGTACTTTCTACACCACTAAATTTTTTAACAAGACTGAATAGTAAAAGTATTTTTATTATAGTTTGAGACCTGCTGAAAAGTCTGAGGGTTTATTTGAAACGCATTTGTTGTCTGAGCTAAAAAATATACAAATAAAAACAGCTACAAAAAACAGTCGATTCAGTTGTTTCTGTTCAGCACAATCTTATATGAAAATCACTGCATTTGAAGCTTTATTACATTTCTAAACTGGTACTTTAATACTTTACTTAAGTATATTTTTTCATGTGAGCTTCTGCTTTTACTTGAGTATTTCTTTGCTCTGGTATCTGCACTTTTACTTAAATAACAAAATTGAATACTTCATCTACTACTGATTGATTACTATCAGTGTTGCTCTAATATATGATTGTATCCCGTGCCTCTCCTCACCCTCTCTCCTCTCTGCCTCCCTGCGCTGGCTCTTCATGTTGATCTCAGCTCGCAGAGTGGTTATCTCCAGCTCATAGGCCTGTGTCTCTTCACTCAGCCGCTGTAGTTCTGCCCTGCGTCTGCACAGCTCCTCCTGCAGGCTGGCGATGTCGTTCTCGCGCTCAGCGGCTGCCTCCTCAGCTGCTTGCTGCAGAAGAATCACCTCCTCATGGGCCACTCTCAGCTCCTCCTGTGCTTCCGCCAGCTCGCTCTCCTTCTCCTCCTCCAGGCTGTTCATCTCCTCCTGCACGGACCGAAGCTGGGCTGCAGGTGAAAGGGGCATGCAGTTTTTAGAGCACTGGATTTGATTATTACCAGACTGCAATAGCACCTCAGGGAATATCTGACTTTTAAAGGGCCCATATTACTGTATTTTCTGATCTGTGTTATAATGTTGTTTCATCATCAGAAACATACCTGGAGTTGTGTTTCATTGACACATGTTTAACACACAAACCCTGCTGAGTTCTTCTCTCAAATGGAAAACACTGTTCCACCTTGTGATGCCATTTGATAATACAGGAAGTGCTCCACACCTTCACAAGAATAATTTTGTTTCCAGTCTCTACTGAACAAAAAAAAAAGGTAGGTGTTAACTTGAAAACTACCACTACATGACACCACAAGGTGGAACAGAGAATTTTGAGCTTTGGAGGTGTAGACAAACTAATAATAAAGGGTTAGTCAAACATGTGTGAATGAAACAAAACACAACTTCAGGTCTTTATTTGAGGAGGTAACAACATTATAACATGACTTAAAACTCACAGGGATACATTTGATTCAATATGGGAACTAATAATAGTAATTTACAGACTAGGTCCACTAAATAACTTTTCTGGTGAAGGGTCTGCCATCTGCTTGTCTCCATGGACATGTCCTTTCTCTACTGTTTGTTGAAGAGTAGGTGACGCCACCGTGCCATCATTTTTGAACTAATAAAATAGTCGAATGCTTTGTGAGGCTAAAGATGTTACATAAAGTGGGCAAAAATACTGTAATTATAGGCTTCTGAACAAGGCAAAATATGTAAATAAAAATAAGTACCACAGTTTTAAAGGGATTTGTGTCCATAGAAATGTGTTCACCTGATGTTTTGAAAGTGTTTGCTTTAGTGGGTGGTGTATGCATTGCATGAGTGGGCTGCTATTTGAAGGAGGCTGATGTAACGCATTGTAACAGACATTTCACTGATGGAAAAAAAATCTTCCAGTCCATGAAATATCAACAGTAATGAAATATTAATATATTTTTCCAAACATTTAGGACGTCACATTGGCTGGAACGTGTCAAGCCTCCTGAAAAATATTGCTTAAGATTCAGTGCAGCACGCTGTTCGGCTCCTTTTCATGTTTAGAGGTTGGAAGAGGTTTCGGAATCTCTAGGGTCAGAAACTGTGCTATTTTTGCATAGTAATTTCTTGATTTCATTATACATTGTACAGAGAGTTGGGACCACCTTCAGTTTGACCTTTTATTTGTTTAAGTGCAGATAGGCACAAGTAAATAAAACTTAATTTCTTTGTTAAGGATATGCAAAAATCCCAGATGTCAGAACTCACACTGAACAACTATTTAGGCTACCAGATGTTACAGATGCCAGTTATTAAGTTAAAAGAAGTATAAGAAGTGTGACAAAATGTTGAACTCCATGGAGACGAGCAGATCTGTGGAGAGGCTACCCTGTTCACCATAACAGTGTAAAAACACCTTCAAGAAATGCAATGTTAATGCCATACTGTGTAGCATTCCAAAGCTCAGTACTTAAGAATCTTGGTAGGGTAGTGTATGAACAGTAAAAGTATAGATAAATATACATACAAAATGCATGTGTCATTGAATTGACCTATACTAAAATATATTGTGTTGCTTCAGCTCTACACTTCCAGGTACTGCTTAAAAACCTTATGTCAACAATATTATCTTGATTTCATTTTTCTCTTTACTTTACCTTGCAGGTTCTGGATTTGGCGCGTGAAGGTCTCAGCTTGATGGGCACTGGCCAGACGTTCATCCTCCAACAGCCCTGATGGACGGAGGGGTAGAGAGAGAGGAGAAAGAGGAGAGAGAGAGAAGGAGAGAGAGAAGTGGGACAGAGGTGAGAAACGAATCACAGGAACCTCGAGATAAGAGAAAAATGTCAGTTCCGTCCGCCAATGGAAAGATGACAATTTGATAAGCATTTCAACCTTGAAGCAGACATGAATGACACAAGCAGGTTTGTATCTCTGCGTGTACGAAGCCAAGACTAAAGGCTGTTGTATTCAGTCATTACCAAAGGGGCTTGGAGAGTCCTCTAATGACCTGTTTTGGAAGTGAAATGCCAAAGCGCCCCCGGGTAAGTGTGTTTTGTGTTATGATGTGATTAGTTGGAGTAGACAGCTTCACAGGGTTTTTCTTCTTAAGTTCCTCCCACTGAAATGCCACTAGTGCTTTGCTACAAGTTTTGGATTACAAAATTAGTCTTTTGCAGTGCTTAAATAGATTCTGGCTGTGGGAGAAAATATATTTGCAAAGGTCATGATTCAAATAGATAAACAAAAGTATAAAAGGATTTGGAAAAATGGAGGTGACAATGCAATAGCTTAAGAAAATAAGGGGTGTATCACAGTAATGTGGACAGCATAGTTTTGTTTTTATATCTTGGTTGGTTAAGATTACATTAAAGTTTTTTTTTGAAGGGGCATTGTGTAACATTTTTGGTGGAGGGTCCTTCAAATGCTTTTCTCCATGGGGATGGTATCGCTTTGCCTGAAATGTTTAATAGTGTGGCATTAAATCTTTCTATCATCATGGATACCAAACCAGACCAAGTTACAGGTAACATCATTGGAGAGGCAACCCTGCTCACAGTCAGAATTCCTGTTTTTCTAGGTATATTTGAGCTTATAAAAACACCTGTAATTGAATAAATGAGCAGTAGAGCAGTTTAATGTTATACTGTGGAACAGACAGAGCAATGACGGACCACCAATCCGAAAAGTTACATAGTGTACCTCCACAGCCTATCCTCTGACAGTAAAAGCTTTTTGAAGCCTAGAGCAAACTTTGGAGAAACAACTATTTATGTGTTAAATATCCAAATATGATTCAAAATTTTGTATTGTTAATGTTAAGTTTGAAAACATTTTAATTTATTTTTGTCAGTCACAAAATTATTGATCAAGAGGGAAAATTTGTGGTTATTTTATTCTTATTATTTTTTTCATTTTTTCACATCAGCCAGTCTTATACCAAATACTTCTTTATACAGTTTGCAAACATGGTCATTGAGATGCCAGAAATCTGACCAACTGTTGTGTCCCTGTGGGAATGGACCTCTCACAGTGACCAATTCTGCTCTATTTTTATCACAGTGGGGAAGCTTCTGTTGACATGAAGGAAAAAATAAATATTGCCCACCTTTTCACAAGTATTAACTAGTCAAAATACAGTCAATACACTTCATTATTCCTGCATATGGACATCTGCAATCACTATCGACCACGTGAAAAGGTTACCAAGTAACCAAGATCAAAACATATATAATGGTCACATGGTGATATTTATATATAGCACTTTTCCACCTTCAAGGCACTCAAAGCGGTTTACATCAAGGAACCTCTCACTCATTCACACTCACACTCATACACTGCGGATGAGGTGGGTTAAGTGCTTTGCCCAAGTGCACATCAACAGCATTCATTTGTAGGAGCTGGAATCGCACTGCTGACCTGTGAGCAAGTGGATCTGACCGCTCAACCAATGATGTTTATGTTGAGAGCGGAAATAGTACCGCCAGCCTTCAGATCAGTGAATAAACACTCCTATATACTCCTATACACTTCCTATATAATTATACCGATCTGTTCCTGGTATTTAATGAAAACAACAGAAACAAATAAAAAGGGGCATTGTGTATGTACCCTCACGGGTAGAGGGTCCGTCAAATGCTTTTCTCCATGGAGATGTTATTGCTTTTTCTGAAATGTTTCACAGCATGGTATTAAACCTTTCTATCTCAAGCCAGACCAAATTACAGCTCAGCTCTGTGGTGGAACAACCCCCTCACATGAAACCACCTGTAATTGAATAAATGTAAGGTAGAGCTGTTCAATGCATTCCAGGCAGAGCAATAAAATACCTACACAAGCAAGTCATGGACCCCCAATCAAAAATGTACATCTCCTGCAATCAATATTAAGAACACCAAAGTAGTTATATACATGTTTTAACTCTATACCTCAGCCTTTAGCAATGCCCATTAAAACCAGAGCAGTCTTAACCTGAACAGCTGTCCTTAAGTCCTGTAGTGTCTGGTGCTTTTCTTTCTCTCCCACAGTCTGGAAGCTTCTCTTGGCATGTGCACAGTTGTCTGAGGAATGCCACACAAACAGCTGAGCTCCAAGCGCCATGACACACACAGCTGTTGGCTGCAGCCCCATAGCCAAGCCCTTACTCACTCCTCAACACTGGGAACATCATTTCTAAGGTATGACGTGATGGTCCGTTTAGCAGGACGTGAGGAAGAGAGCTTGTCACCCACTCGCTATAAACATTGACACAAGCGTCTATGTCTGCCTGTTTATCTCAGATTTTATTCTGAAGATGATTGGGTAACCTATGTGTTAAATGTTAAAACGATTCAGTCACGCTTCTTGTTTGGGTTGTTTTGCAATGCTAAATTTGTATCTGCTCCCACAGTCTTCTTTCCTTTTGATTTCCTCTTTTGGGACCATCTGCCTCCTAGTTTACAGTGATTTGCAAATGAACTGAGCATACTAGGTTCCAGGTCAGACATGTTTTCGGATAAACAGTATCTATGCTAGAAACTAAAAGGGGCTTCATCTTCCTATGAATGGACATGCTTCTGTTTTGACAGTGATTTTTCCTGCTCTTTCATACTTAGTTTTGCTTAGAAAAAGCAATAAAAATACACAAGTTTGAAACTTCCTTAAAGCAATTTTCTCTGCTGAGATTAAAAAGAACAAAAAGTAGACTGCCCTGGAGAAGGGTGCAAAGCTTATTAAATTCTCTAAAAAGTCCAAGGGTAAAAACAATGCACATTTAACTCGTACTTTATGTGCAAAAAGAGACAGGGAACAATTATGGGCTTTTATATAGCCCCAAGCTTGTGTCCTAAAAATCATTTCATCACACAAAATATTATGGCATCTAAAATTAACTCATAACTGCACTTTTATGGGAAATTTGTTGTTGGCCAACGCATATGGCCACATTTTGTGATGCCAAAAAGAAAGTTATGTTTCTGAGATAATAGGGACACTAAGAACTGTTGTGTGGTGTAAACTTGCTGAAGAACTGAGACAAAATAGTGTGTAATCCAAATACAGTCTGGTCCCCTGTTCCTGAATTATACAAGGAGAATATGTTTATGTATATCAGATCATACATTTTTTGTTTGTTGATATATGCCAAGTTACATGCAGTTTAAGACAGTATTTAAAAAGTTATGAGTTCACAATGAGCTGCTATAATACCATAAAGGGCAAGGCTTATACTTCTGTTTTCAAACAGTGAATTTCAATCTTTCAGAACATTTGAAGAAACATATGCTTATTATAACGTTGCCCTAATAAGAAGAATATTGTTATCTCATGAACCAGAGGCCTAAGGCGAGTTAAACTGAGGACAATGTCCAGTGAGTCATGGGCCATTCACTCTCAAATACAAAGAGCAATTTAGAAACACTATTTCAACACACATGAAGCACAGTTCATACTTCAGTTATTCCACTATATCTGAACTAAATTATCTGTTTTTAGATATGCATTTAATGAGCTAAAATATGTTCTTCTCTACAGTTCTGAAACACTGTGACTAATTCAATGCATCCATATTACCTTAAGCTGCTTTACTTACACACAAACCTTAAAGTACAAACATCTTCTAATGCTTTACTGCGTGTGCTTTAAATTCACTGTTATTAAATATTATTTTTTCTTACTTTCAGTTTCCTTCCAATGACATTCACAATCACATTTAACATCTTAAGCTGTATCATTATCACCAAAACCAGTACATTTCACCATTTTTAATGTAATTTAATGCTCACTTTCCATCGAATTGCCAAAAGGAATTCCTTTTTCCACACTGTGCACTTTAGAATCTCTTGTTCTTAAAAACTAAGAGATTTACAGGAATATTTCACTAGGATATTCACTCTCAGTTGAATAGCTTAATATTGGGCCTGTTATCGACTTAATATTAACAATTTAGTATATTTAAAATAATTTTGGGGAATAAATTGGTCTTTTGGTTTTTCACTATTATCATTTATCATCTATATTTTCTTCAGCAATATATCGCACTTCAAAATGTGTTATCATGAGTGGCCTGCTCAATACATTTCTATATTATACATATATATGTTGATTTTGATTCACTCAGTACAGTACTTTCTTTGCTCTCCTCACCTTGTAGCTCATGGAAGCTCTCTTGGTGCTTGTTGGAGGTCTCGCGGGCTTCGTCCAGCTCCAACAGCAGTTGAACCACCTGTGCCCTGAGCTCCTCCAGCTCCTGCTCTTCCGTTAGGCTCTCCTCCTCCGTACCTCCCTCTCCCCGTTCCACCTCCTCCTTCTCATTGTCCTCCAGCACGCCGCGCTCTTTGGCGGTCATCTCATTATCCATGATGGGGCTGCTGTCGGCTTTCAGATCACTCAGGTCATCTGGCAAACAGGGATAAAAGGTATGGTAAAAAGACAGGTTCACAGGTTAGATAATATTAGTGTTTGTTATCAGCTATGAATCAGAGCCACGTGTATTTTGAATCAACAGCACCATCTTGTGATTAGTTATGTCATATTTAAAGACAGTTACAGTTTTAAAATATACTGCAAATTATTTTGATTTTTCAAATGAAATATCCTCCAGTTTAATTTAATTTGTTTACTTTTTTACTTATTTTAGTCAGTGCTGAATATAGCAAATGTATAAACTTGCAAATAAATGCACGAAGTAGCTGCATTTCAGACAGTTACCACCTTGTACTAACTGTATTTAAAAACATACAGATTCAGATTTGTTTTTCGCTTGCTGCATTTAGAGGAAAAATCTTAGAATCTGAAATTTTACAGATTACAGAATAACCACCTTCAAAACTTGATATTATTGATAAACCAGGCATTTGTCAAATAAAGACACCATGCATTTGGAAATTAGATTCTGATTGCGAGGTGAAAGTTTATTTTTGTTTTTTATTCTTTATTTCCATTTTTCCCCCATTTTAGCCATTTCAAACATCTTTAATCACATCAAACACAAACGCTATCCTCCGCCTCTTTACTAACACTAATAGACTAAATGTAATTTTATACAACACAGTAAAATCTTGGTTCCTACTCCATGCCCACAGTCCACTCTCTGACAGCTCAAACCACTGCAGCCTTCCGTCCTTTATCATTCACATCGGCACACAAAACATTATCCACTTAGAACCACTAGGGGGAGTGCGTCAGCCAGGCACAGCACACAGAGAAAGGGGGAGAAGGGCCACTATGCTGAGGTAATCATATGAGTCACCACTCGGCAATGCACCTCTAAGGCCATAAAAACATGAGCTACTATTCATCCTAAGAGGGATATGACAAAACATAATTGTAGCACATTGAGGCAGGTGAAATTGATGACTTTTTTGTGGGTTGCATGGCTATTTGAATAAATTTGAGTCGACAACACAAGAGCTACAAGGAGAGGCTAAGAGCAGGTCAGGCTGTAGAGAAAGACGTCATTTATTTCATGGGTACAACATCAAATTGCCTCCTCATTGCAGTGAATACATTTGGCATTACTCAGAGATGCGATTTGGGACTGTCAGAGAGAGGAGGGTGGAGTAAGCACATATTTAGCTAACACTGTTTTACTTATAGAAGACATACAGTATGTGTTTTCTGGTACTGAGTATTGAACTGCAACACAAGTACAGGCCTATGATCATTTGACATTTTGTTAATTGTAACATGCAATATTGATCTAAAACTTCATACTGGTATTTCACCATAGTTAGCAGTTACATGTTTTTATTTTGTATCTTTGGGAATGGTGACTGAACATTTTTTACCCTATGTGTGTGAGTTTTGATGTTTTTAATAAGTACAGGAATGAGGATGGGGACAAGGGGTACGTGAAAACTGAAATTTTCTGAGCTCTCAGTCCTCAAATGCAGGACAACGCGAGATTACTCAAACATGACTCATCCAAAATACAATTAAGTAAATTGTGAAATGCTCATAAAAGTCGACCAGATAAACAACTGCTTTAGTAAAAATAACATCAGTGATTTGGGAACTGAAGTACTAACTGTGGATGTTGCTTTTCTTTTTTATGATTAGTGATCTAATTTAGACTAAACAAAACAATTTCCCATTTTTATATTTCCAAATTGGAAACTGCTTCACAACTGTAACTATAAAGGGCCCATATTATGCTGTATTCTAATTTATGTTATAATGTTGTTCCTCACCAAAAACATATCTGGAATTTTGTTGTTTCATTCATACATGTTTAACACACAAACCTACATATTTAATCATCCAAATGGTTCTTCACAAGAATCATTTGGATGATTTTAGCCCTGGAAATGCTAATCTCTACTGAACTCAAGGTAACTCAAACATGTGTGAATGGAACAAAACACAGCTCCAGGTTTGTTTTTGATGTGGTAACAACAATATAAAATGGCTTTAACGTCTTATAAGTAACTTGTATTATTGATTTAAATGATTAAAAGTAGCAAAGCCTAACTTCTCTGTGCCTGAAGCTGATTTTGACCATATTGAACCATATTGACTATGATATTTCCCATCAGTTATTTAAGGGTCAAGTCCTCTTACAATCAAGCTGTAACCTCACAAATGCTGCTAATTTGTACCTAAGTGCACCGAAATGCCTGGCACAGTGCTTCAGCTCTGCAACAAGAGTTCTTAACGTGATGAGCAAGACAAGACCAGGAAGCGATAAGATGTGACTTCACTGCAGAGAGGGAAAGTGCAGCAGGGGACCTTGCCAAGCATTAACTAAAGATCCAGCTAATTAAGACTGATACTCGCAAGTGTAATCTTTGCTCAAGGGAGGCGTTCATTTCTTCACTAATTATTTTTCTGCTTTTTTGTCTCAGGATATTTCCATCAGAGTTCAAACTATTTTTCATCCCATCACCAAGCAGTTATTTCTTTCTTCTATTTTATTACTCCAACAATGCAAAGCCCATGGAGGCGTATGCGAGTGGTTTCATAGGCACAAGGCTATTTTGTCATTAAACTTTGATGCTGGTGTAATGAGTAAGTCATAAAGAAAAAAAGGGAGTGAGCGTATTGTATGGCCAGAGGCGCGCTGTAAAGATCATTGAGAACACAGAAGCGACATTGGAAATAATGAATGTTGAACTCCTACAAGCTTAAAGAAAATACGCTGAAGGATTTGTTATAGAAGTCGCGGTTGGATCTGAATGGAGAGAAACAATAAGAGAAGAGCTGATATGGAGAGAGACTTAGGAGGTATTTAAGCACTTATAGTAGAGTTCAAACAAATGTTCCACCAGCCAAAAATAGAAAATGCAGATATAGTATGTTTGGTCACACACAGTTCGTAGTGCTCCTTCCCTCCTTTCCCTAAAGATAATCATAGTCTTTCTAATGTAGGGATTTGCATATTAATTTGGCAAGTTAACCCAGATGCCCCTCCTGGTTCTCTTACTTTATCTAGATTTGGGACATTCCAAAATGACTCTGTGTGAATGGATAATTATGAATGAATCAAAATATGAGCGTAATATAAGATAGTGTGACCTTGAGATCAAAATTGAATCTACTGTATTGTTTTGTCATAGTCGTTTTTAAAATGTTATTTGTATCTTAAATACATATTCTTATGGCGTTTTGGTATTTATGGGCATGATTTAATTGCACTGAGTTGCTGTCAATCTTAAACAATTAACATTCTTGTATTTGTCTGAATATTTCTCCCAATATGACTAGATTTTCTCCAAAAAGTCCCAAGGCATATGGTGCGAAATAACACTCCACATCTTATTGTTATTCAAAAAACATTATTCTTTGCCAATCATCTCAACTCAAAATTCCCCGAAGAGTGGAGCTGTCATCTCTGCAGGCTCCTCATCAGAATAACCCAGGCGACGGTTTCAGAAACATTTACCGTCCTCACCTCCCTAGTGTGTGTCAACTTCATAGTTTTGTCCAATCAGCTGTCGTGACACCTATATCCACTGTGCGCTATGAGCCAGGATCCCCTTTGGTTTACTATGCAAGCTGGATTACATTAGATATGGCTACTTCATGCATATACAAGAGATCTCAGGAGCAGCGCTAGCTTTAGGCACAGAATGGCTTTATCTGGACACAGCACATTCCTGCGTAATCACATTGCAGCAAAACACATTGAGAATGCCATAGTAAAACCTTGTTCAGTGGAGAATAGGAGCCAAACAGCACAAACAGGGAGCAGCCTGAGATTAAATTTAAACATTAATGTGACAACACTGGGTCCTTTGTTACATGTTTTGATTGGGTGCTCATCCCCAGAGCTTGAGTAGTGATGAAAAATGCTCTCTGCCAAATTGAGGAGTGGATTTTGAACAAACAGGAGAGAGAGGTGGGGATATGGCACAGGGTTTTGGCAAGGAGGACGACATCAAATATGATTTACATTTTTTAAATCTTGATGAGTCTTGGTGAAAGTATCACTATAGGACAGAGAAAAGTTAAGGTGCTACGAGAAACTGTATAAAGAAGAGCTTGGCTCCAATCGAATGAAGCTCAGGACTCTGGAGATTATAGGGGTGAATTTGGAGCCGCGTTCCATATTAGGAACATGAATTTATTTACGGACAAAAGAGCAAAATAAAAACACCAGAACAGTGAATTATGAGCCTCACAGCAGCAGTTACAGAGAGAGGGGTGACAAACTTTCAATGTAAAGTCAATTGTAGCCAGATTCAGTGGAGCCTGAAGTGGTTCTAGCAGCTAGCAGGTTAGCTATGTTCATTTATATATACAGTCTATGGGTGCTACCAATAAAAAAAAATGTTTGTAATTAAAACTAGAAAAAAAGAGAGAGAGCACCTTACAAAGTTACTGAGCAGTGACCACAAATCAATGTTTTCTAATTCTGGTTAATGATCAGCACAAGAATTGATACAGATATTTAAAAAACATAAAAATAATGGAAAAAGCCACCATGGGTTTCAGAGTAATGAAAAATAAGAGTGGTGGCTCAGCAAATAACAATTCTTAAAGAGGCAGTTAGGAATTTTGGACATAGGGCCTCATTTCCTAGTTAGCCACAGTGTTGGAGATGTGTGGAGGCACTTTTTAAATTATTCCATCCAGTTCTTGTATTTGCAGAGGTCACTGGTGCTAGGCTAGTGCATGTCAATGGCCATAGTTAGCCTGACACTAAAAAACCCAACCTTGCATTTGAAGGTTTTATGTCGGAGCAGCAGCAGCGAGTTGTACTTCCTGATAGAAAGCTCGGCAGCGGCGGACTGATATATGAGAAAATAGTCACTCGACATGTGAAGATTCATGCGATGCAAGGTAGTTTTATTTCAAACATTATTATATCAACACAGACATTTACATTGACAGTCTGGTGTAATAATTGTTTTGCTTCGGGTGTTTTGTGGAGTGGGTAAGATTGTTTTTAGTCACAG